TGAAGTGTGTGTATTTTAAATAATAAAAAATGAGTAAATTTGAAACATTTGAGAAATATAATACGTTAGAATGTTATATTGAGTCTCACAAATATAAGCAAATGGCAGCTGATTTGTATTTTGAGCGGTATCCAGAGCGCGAGCAACCAATCCCAGCCATTTTTAAAAGGTTAGAATATAGTTTAAATAATCAATTTTGGATCTTTTCAAAAATCGCGTCTGAAAAATTGTCAGAAAGAAGATGAATAAAATCAATATATTAATGTCCTCCAAAAATTTGAAATGTTGAGGTTAATAGTGAAAATAAATATAGAGTGTTATGTATTTTCGAGAAGCCCATGCCAAGCTGAATCAGGAAATTTAAAAATATACAGGGGGTTCTATTTAAAAAAACATAAGTATAGTTAGTATCTAAAAAAATATTTTTTTCGAAAAATGTCTGACTGCGCCACTGCATTCTACACAGAAAAGTGCCTCTAGAATATATAATTCATTTTTCCGTGGTTGCTGAAATAAACAAACTATCGAACATCTTCAAGAAGTAAAAAAATTGAGAATCCCCCTGTAGCTTAGAAACCGATCAAGATAGCCACGATCCGTTTGCGCCATTGTAATTTTTAAAGAGACTGCAGTATCGAAATTTGAATATTTCACGGTTTCTTAGATACCCTATAGAAACAACCAAAATGGTCCACCCTGTATCAATACCATCGAAAAAAAACAGCGTCAGCGATGGCTTTGAAATGAAGATCGCTGTGATTTTGTATACAAAATTATATGAAGAATGCCATCGATCGTCATTTCCAAGCCAGCTGCACACCGTTTTATTCTATCATGCGGTATAACAAGAGAAATTATTACATTATATGTGAGATTATACAAAAAGATGCCTGTTTTTTGAATTTCAGCTATAACATTTTTATCGTTATAGAGGTTGTCCTATAATTATAATGATTATCATTAATAAAATTGATCTAATTATTCTACAAATTTAATTTATTATACAGTATGTCCCCGGATTATCTTTACAAAATGCATTCTTCATAAAAATGTTTGTTGTTCTAAAATGGTTAATCCTGTTTATACTTTTCCAAAAAGTAATTTTAGAGAAAATTAAAAAGATTGATTTTTAGTTAAAAACCATAATATCTACATAAAACATAGGTAGCAGATTAAAATAGGCAATATAGGTAGTAGATTAAATTTACACGAAAGAAAAGATCCAGCGGTTCTCAAAATGTAAGTGAAAAATTATTTTTTTTAATTTTCAAAGCAAAATATCTCCGTTATTTTGGACTTATTTGAAAAACGGAAAAAAGAGAAAACATGTTTCTTTTATCGAGATCTACTACCTACTACTTGACTATGTGGCATATCCGTTTTTCTATAACTAACTACTTCATCATCATTGTCATCATTTTGAAATTATTCAACCATTTCCAACTATGGTGTAGCCTTCTGCACATATTTAGATACTCTCTTTGTAGTTGGGCCCATTGTTGTCTATTTTTGGCTCTGCGGGTCCAAGTTATCTCTGCTAATTTCTTAATATCATGGTTCCACCTTAGGTTTGGTCTTCCTCTAGGTCTATTAATTCCTCGTGGGTACCATGCTATAATAGGTCTGTCAACAAAATTTAGTTTTCTACTGCAAATTATAAATTTGTGCATATTAAAAGACCGTACAAAGTTTGAAAACAAATACTCATATACTTTTCGAGTTATTCGTAATTCAATTTGAATCCTTTCGACGAGGAGGGAAAACGCTGACAGGAGAGCTACCGTGGGTGTGACGTCACATGCTCGCTAATATCAGAGACATAACGGACGGATTCGTTGCGCCGTTTTCTTGTATCCCTGTCTAGATTTAATTAGATTAGTTACATAGTTGTAGTCAAGTTTTATCTGTACTACAAGTTACGCCACTGTATTCAGAATTATTTGTACCGATTCTGTTTTACGCTTAGACATAAACGACCCTTCAATTATTATTAGTCGATGGAAAGTCCTTATTGTAAAATTATATAGCCTCTGTTCAGACACGTTTGTATTTTACGCAAACAAAGGATCTACTAGGTATAGTTTTAACACTTAATCACACTTTTTAATTCAATTCAGTCCCAAGATGTCGCTTTTTACTCTACTTTTCAACACGCACTTTTGGGCTTTACCTCTCTAAGTTCCAGACAGTTCAGAGTCGGCAATTTTTATATCAAATTTTACTTTTAAAAACTAACTGTTTAAGTTTTTATATATTCAAATCTTCCCATTCAATTTCGAATGTCTTTTTTACAATGTACAGTCTATCATCGGCTGCTTGAAATTGAAATTCAAAAACCTAGCGATCCTGTTCAACAGGCGCTGACTTGGTCCGATTATAAATGTGTAACACTATAAAGTATTTGATATCATGTACCCCCTCCTGATGGTTTCATAAACTTTATATCTTGTGGGTATGGAGGACGCGCTAGCGATGTTGCAATTTTTGAAGATTGTGGATATTTAAAAGTTCTTCCAGAAAATTGCGTTATTATGGCAGACCGAGGTTTTAAACAAATTATAACATACCTAAGGAAAAAAAAATGTACATTGATCAGACCTCCAAGTGTTGTAAGTAATGTAAAAATGACCAAGGATGACGTTCTGTTTACAAAACGAATTGCAAGTGTGCGAATACATATTGAACGTATAATAAATCGCTTGCGACATTTTAAAATGTTAGGACCCCACTCTACTATTTCTTCAGCAATGGTTCAAAAACTAGATAACATAGTTAGTATTTTCTGTGCCATAATAAACCTACAAAAACCCATTATAATACAATAGTACATTAAGATTATACTATGTCTGTTCCTATATAAAACAATGGTTTCCTAAACGATATTTTTATTAAGATCTTAAATGTTTATTCAGTAAAAACTGTATACAGTAATTTAAAAATGTTGGTTTTTCAAAAATGTATGGCAGAGTCAATAAGACCTTTTGTAAAATCCTCATCATATTTAACGTTGATAACAGTAATTTCCTTGCCTTTGTAGTTTCAAAATTGGGATGTGCTACGCAAAATATTCCTTTTCAACACCTCTTGCTAACATTTGCAGATTTATTTGTGCTAAGTATTTTTTCTCTATTTCGTTATTGTTATTAACATATTGTAAAAGACTTTAACACCACTGGATTCAACTTGGTTATAATCAGTATTCATCATGAGAAAGTCAAATACCATATTGACATCTACTTGCGGTAAATTATGTGAATCTCCTTTCTGGAAACCCTCCTCCATATTTAGCAACAAATACAACTTCTTTTACGGTATTCAACAACAAAAATAATAATGTAACTACTGTAAATGTCGACTGTACTTCAATACCTTTTATAGGGAGTGTCACAGTCAAACTGAATCACGGTCTTGCCGTCATGCCGTCGCAAGTGGAGCTGCGTGCGGCAGGCATGTGACGTCAGGCCAATGAGAGCACGTTTATTTAATTTGAACGGAGCGCATAACTTCAAGAGTCTCTCTTGTCAAAGGAGTTTATTTTTTTTTTGAAAAAAAGTTAATTAATTGGTATTATCATACTAAAACATTAATTTTTACTGCTTTTAGTGCAAATTTTTTTTAGTGAACAGACCTATTGTTGTAGTCCATCTATTCTCCATCCTTCTTGCCAAAACAAATTTAATTTCTTGCGACAAAGATATCCCAGAGTGTTAAAAACAAAACAAGCAAAGTTTCAAAAGTTCGGGCAGATAGGGGCCGAAAAATAAACAGGACGCACAATACAGTCTCTCTTGGTTATTCCCCAGCATATTTCGTTCCATTGAGCATGACAACCTGCAGTTTCCTTTATGATGTCCGTTTTAAGTGTCCAGATTTGGCATGCATAGTCATGACTGGTAGTACACATTGGTCGAATGTTTTCTTCTTTAGATAGAGTGGCATTCTAGATTTGAATATGATTGAGTTTCTTCTATAAATACTCTACGCTAACTTAATTCTTCTGTTGATGTCTGGTGGTAGAGATTCCGAGCTGTGTATTAGTTGTCCCAAATATATATGCTTCTACTATTTCCAGTGCTGTGTTATTTAGAATGTCTTTTCTTTCCACTAGTTCGTTGTAGATTATTTAGTTTTTGCTAAATTTATTTTAAGACCCACTTTATTGCTCGCTGTATCTAGTTCATTAATTTATGCATGTAGTTCTTCAGGACTATTGGCAATTAGGACTATGTCATCAGCGAGTCTTAGATGGTTAAGATATTCTCCATCTATTTTTAATCCTTTGTTGGTCCAGTCCAGTTGACGGAAGATTTCTTCTAGTGTTGCTGTAAACAGCTTTGGGGATATTGCATCTCCCTGTCGTACTCCTTTGCCAATTGGGAACTCCGAGGGTTGTTTTTTTTACTATTTATCGGATTAAACCTTATAAAAAAATAAGTCCTTAAAGTTAAAATTGAATTTCAAATAACCAAAAAACAAATTTAATTTCTTGCGACAAAGATATCCCAAAGTGTTAAAAAACAAAACAAGCAAAGTTTCAAAAGTTCGGGCAGATAGGGCCGAAAAATAAACAGACGCATAATACAAACAATAGAAGTAGAGAAGAAGCCGGCACCCGAAATCTCGGGTCTGCGGCTTAACACAGGCCCTTCATAAGTTTATACTCTTCTTGTCTAAGAAACATCAACAGCATAAAAGTATAGAAAGATACGGCAAGCGGCAAAAAGTGCACAAAGCTCAAAAGGTTTCTTGTAATAAATGTAAAACTCGTGGCTTAGGTGCTAGCGTTAATACCTCCTTAAAACTAAAGCTCTAACTCATACGCTTATATAGATGTTATCGTAGATTGTAGGAGAGAAATTAATAACCAATACAAACAATAGAAGCCAGTATCTGGGATAATTTTATCGAGGTTAGTTCTCCATCTCCGGTATCAATCGTACCCATGGCACGAATGGTTGTTGTTTCGGCGCACTCAGTGATGAGGTGTTCTGATTTTTCCCATGTCTCCACAGAATCTGTATTCGCCTTTGGTTTTTAGCTTTAATCTACTGAGGTGAGTGACGGTTGAAGAGACTCAGAGTGTCTTGTTAAAAACCCTGTGACAATCCGGAGATTGTTCTTACTTAAATCAAGGAAAATCTTTGATTTTTCTCGGTCGTAAGTTCTGAGAAAATTTTTCGAGTTTCTTGGATCATTGGACGATTCCCAATCCAGGTTACGGATGGAGTCTTTCAGGTTCTTGAGTTCTGCTTAAAGTTAGTCTCCACTTGAGAAACAGGACGGTTCTGGTCCAGTTAGTGGAGTGTTTATTCCTTTTCTATTATTACAGTTGAGGGTTGGAACCTTTGGTGTTACACAGCAAAATAAAACACTAAATCACCACAATACACCAAAACACTTTTACGTTTACACTAGACGCGCGTTTTGCTATCCATGTTAGCATCATCAGCATTAGATGCATATGAAAGCATCAGAATTAATAAATGTAAAGATAGTATGCCTTCAAGTTCTGTGTTCCTACTACTCTAGTGGCGGAAATTTAACTGTTACGCTCGGTGGGCTCTGACTCGGTTGGCTAGATCTTGCCACGCCCACTCGGTGCCCACTGAGCGAGTATACAGGGTGAGTTTCCTACGATGTTCTCTATGGGTATCTCGAAAACTACTGGAGATAGAGAGTCGGTTAAATGGGGAAAGAATTGCAGTTTTGTGGGGTCATAAATATGCGCCTTTCAGATTTTTGAAAAAGTTCATGGCTTACTAGATATTTAAAAAAAAACAAATTTCGGCTATTTTAAAAATTGTCCCTAAGTCCATTATAAGCTATTTTAGACAAAAAGTTTTCAGATAAAAGTTGTGGATAATCACATCCTTAATGAGACTGTGTCCTCCATATTTTTCTAAAGCCTGTCATTTTTGACATATGACACAAACATGTTTTTTAAGTGGAAACCATAGTTGGCCATGACTTCATAAAAAGCGCCATTTTTTAAGCTTTTCAGCGATATAAGCTATAATATGTTTTCTTCGAAAAATTACTGAGTTATAGCCAATTCTTATCATTTTTAAACAATTTCACTTAGTTAGCCATGGAAACAAGTTTTTATCGTCTTTGCTCTCATAAATGTGAAGCTCTCACATCCAAACTTTGTAAATTAAAATAAACAAAAATTGTAAATATGCATTGTTCAAATGAAGAAAAGCGTGTAGGATTATTGGTTCAACTTTTCTTGACCATACATTTTCGAGGATACGTTGACCGGTGAATGTTACGTTTTTTAGAGAACGGTTTTCAAGACATGACAAATTAAATTTAGATACACGCGCATCAATCGAGTGGTTTCAACATGACTTGACTAGCGAAACACTTGCCCAGCAGTTAAAAGACCATACTTATCTTTCTTGACTAATTTCACTTAGATTGCATGGTATTCTTATTCAGTTATGATTTGTAACTTATAAAAAGTCAGAATAAATTACTAAACGTTTCTTTACAATTTACATTACACAAACTAAAACTAAAAAAAAATAATATCACTACATACACTTTAAGTTACTTTAGAAAATGTTCAAAAATCCGCCACTGTTTTGAGTTGTATCTTTTAAAACTGAATTACTACTTTTTAAAACTGAATTACTCACAGAAGGACCGGTCGACTTAATTAAACTTTTCTCGTACCGCCACTTCGAGTGCCTCTCTTAATTCATTCAAGTTATTTTGTAAACCTTATTGTTAACTACACCGCATAAAAAATAAGGTGATCGAGGAGGCCCATGCAATTAGTCCACCTCTTCCTGTATAATTATTATGATATAAATAATTTTAACATTTCTTTCATTATGGAGGGTGGGGGTGGTGTGTCATAATGAAAGTCATGTTGGAACTACTCTATTGATGTGCGAGATCAACATGATTTTCTTCATTTGAAAATACATATTTACAATTTTTGTTTATTTTAATTTACAAAATTTGAATGTGACGGCTTCACATTTCTGAGAGCAACGGCGATTGAACTTGCTTCCATGGCTAACTAAGTGAAATTGTTTAAAAATGATAAGAATCGGCTATAACTCAGTAATTTTTCGAAGAAAAGATATTATAGCTTATATCACTAAAAAGCTTAAAAAATGGCGCTTTTTATGAAGTCATGGCCAACTATGGTTTCCATTTAAAAAAACATATGTTTGTGTCATATGTCAAAAATGGCAGGCTTTAGAAAAAAACGTAGAACACAGACTCATTAAGGATGTGATTATCTACAACTTTTATCTGAAATTTTTTTGTCTAAAATAGCTTATAATGGAATTAGGGACAATTTTTAAAATAGCCAAAATTTGTTTTTTTTTAAATATCTAGTAAGCCATGATTTTTTTCAAAAATCTGAATGCGCATATTTATGACCTCACAAAACTGCAATTCTTTCCCCATTTAACCGACTCTCTATCTCCAGTAGTTTCCGAGATACCCATAGAGAACATCGTAGGAAACTCACCCTGTATAAACGCTCAAATTGTAGATTGTAGTTTAGTTTTTAATCATCTGCTGGTGATGCTAACATGGTTAGCGAAACGCGCGTCCAGTGTAAAAGTAAAAGTGTTTTGGTGTATTGTGGTGATTTAGTATTTTATTTTCTTGATATTCCTTTTCTAGTTAGATCGTTTGCTTTTTCATTGTCTTCTATCCCTTGGTGGGCTGGCACGCAGAGTAGGAGGACTTTATTTTCTTTACCAAATTTGTTCAGCTTCTCTAGGTATTCTTTAACCAACTTCGAATTGATGGGTTACCCAGTTGTTCGCTTTTAGTACTGCATAATTGTACTCTTCCACAATTTTCTCAGAGTAGCCATCAAAAGTGACAAGAAGAATAGAAACTAATCTCGAACTTTTACGATGACAATTCGTTCGAAAATTGTTGTTGGTCTGTAATTAGAATTCTGTTTTTTATCTATACAGAATTAGTCATTATAGCTTGAGGTTTTACTTTTTCACTTAGGTAATTTAAATTTTAGATTTGTTTTGGTTTCGTTTCAAAATATAGCCACCAATAATGCGCTTTATACTTTTCAGTGGCGAATTCTTTCATCTGCAACTACATTAACACTTATATTTGAACATAATTTAAATATAATATAATTTTTTTTATTATTGGATATTTGTTGAAATCGCTGTCTCTATGACATTCAGCTTAAAATGAATTAAAAAAACACATTCTAGATTTTAATAACAAATTAAGAATTTTGAAGTACAAAAAGTAGGTAATTGCAGAGAACCAAAAAACGCTAATTTTCAACTGGCTGTTGAGCCCGCACAGTTTTTCAGAGAAAAAAAATGAATAACAAACATAATAGGAAATTCCCTGTACTTAAATTTTGAATAGAAAGAATATTTATGAAAAGTTGATATTTTGTAAAGTTCTAAAGAAGAAACCGCAAAAAAATCCATTTTATCCAATTTAATGTATTTTCTCTTAAAATTTTGTTAGCAAACTTCCCATTCGAATACAGCACCCAAAAAAACCATAATAAATAGAAGAAATTAGAACTTTCCCCCAAGAGGCTTTTTTAAGTACGCTTTGACTATAATAGTAGTTTTGCTGCCGACAATTCTTTTCAAGTTTCAAGTTCTGTGGTTTTAGTTCCCCAGGTGGTATTGTATTATTCGAAAATAAAATAATGCCAAGGCGCGGTCGTTATTTTGCAGCTTAAAGTAATGAGTTTTGCCATCATTTATGCAAGTGCAATGATGAAATGCATCTCCCTATTGTTCGCTATTTGGTAGGCGGAATAGAGTTTATACGATTTTCTCAACTATAAACAAGATAGGTTTGGTTTTACGTTAATAATGAACAAAACCACTCTGATTATATTATTGTAACAATAGTAATAATTTATGATTTTAATACATTTAAAAGTTAATTAAATAATAAACCCTTAAACATTATTATCATCAAAAGAATATATTAACGAGAAATTAGTTAGTTAGAATTATAACGAGAAAACTTTCCTGGACTGGGTCCTCTCGAACTAGATGGAATGTGTCCATCAGCAGTTTACCATTAGCTGAAGAAGTATGATTCTCGGTTGACGGGTATAAATTCGTTATTAAATAACATTATTATCATCAAAAGAATATATTAAAACCGATTCGTTCAGTTACGTATGCCTGTTAGGGTGTCATTTTTTTTACGCATAACGAGAAAACGTCAATTATCGCGATAATTTAAAACTCAACTTTTAACCTATAACGAATTGCTTAACTCAAGAACCACTTTAGATATTGAAACTTTTTTTTATTTTCAAGATCGGATATTTTTACAATATGTTTATAAGAAAAATTCGATAAGGTTGTTTTTCCATTTCAAAATTGTAAACAATCCATCCGTTTACTGTTAAAACATATAATTTTTCAGCAATCGATGTAATTTTTTATTAATGTAGTATATTTTAAAGTGATTTTATAAAATATTTAAAATACTGCAGAAATATTAACAAAGTTCTTGAAAAAAACTACAATCTATTATTTCTAATAGATTTCGAGATATCGATTTTTGAATTCAGAGTTCTAATCGTGACCACTATCGAATACCCACTCAATTCTACTTATTTTTACCAAAAATGCAAGTGTTTCTAGCTTGCACTTAAAAAAATTCGCTGCGTGTTATATTAATTCACAGATAAGTTGAAGTTTCTATCATTTGCTCGATTTCGTCTGTCGAAATCTCTATAAAAAGGATTTGAACCTGGATGACCAAAAGTTTAAACATTTCTATCAAATGAAGATAGTGACATTTTGCAAGTTACTAAGAATAATACATACAATTCAAACTTCAATTCAGATCACAGTAAAAAAATATTTAAATAATATAATTACGTATTGAAAAGCCAGTTGCAATCGAAATGTGGCCACCAGCCGCTTGCCAGTCGAAAATTAAACTTGTCGGAGACTAGTGGCACAGATTATAAACTTTGTTTTTTCTTTATTGTTTTTCGTGGTTCTAATTTTCGGAATCGGGCACTAGTTAGGTTACTAGTTTGCGCACATAGCACGCCCACTTATGGCCTCTAAAATTGTGCACAGCGCCTGAGCGGCACAGTTATTAGAGAGTTATCGGAAAACCAAATAGCGTCATGCAGTATTTACGCGTACCTTATCATGGTTACGACACGTTACGATATGCGCGAGCCAATTTTTAACGCAACGCCCGCTAATAACGTTACCGCCTGACGTAATTTGCGCATCAATTAAACCAAGCGCTATTTGTAAATAACGTTTAAAAATTGCTTAACTGAGCATGTGCGGGTATTTAACAACCGGGGCCGGCCGGCGAGATCTTTTATTTTAGGTTATGTTTGAATTGTTTTAAATTATTACTTTAATTTTATTAGGTAATTTGATATTTAAGTAGCTGGGATTAGTTTTAATTAAATAAATATGGTCCAAAATATGGATTTCACTTCTTCCAATATTAAAGAACCTATAAAGAGGCTTAGGTTTACAGCAGATGACGACTTAGCCCAAGGTTATTAAAAGGTAAGGTTGTCTCTTAATTTTTGGACCAATAGGAGCGAAGCAGAATAGCATCCCTCTGACGTAAATAGAACGTATAAAATCATAGGGTAAAAGGAATAGAAAATAAAATGCAACCGACAAAGAGAGATAAATGGTCAATACAATAAAGAAAACACACATCAAACAACTGAAAACTATTGACGTCATACACTATAAACAATAAAGTACACAATGAATATCGATTCGGAAATGCACTCTCGGACTGTGGGCAGTTTTTATCCCTTTATCTGTGAGCGGTATCATTCCTATGACGTAGTAGATGACGTTTTCGATAATGGCGGATCGAGTTACGAGACAACTTTATCTTTTAATAACCTTGGACTTAGCCCTTCTAAGAGAATTTGTTGCTTGTTACCCTAAACCCACTGGCAGACGTTAAACAATAAAGCGCTGGAAATAAGCACTTTAGCCCTTTAGTTTTAAAATATCTAGTAAACAAAACAATTTCAAAGTTTTAAATTCAAAGTTAGGTTAAGTTTAAATAGCGGACGCGACGCGAACAGAATTCTTTCCGAACCGATAACTATAAATGAAGAGAGTTAATACCACCTTACGTAAAGGAAATAACACCTGGCCTTATTAACGTCCATGCACGCTATTCGGTTTAGCGATATCTCTCTATTAAGCTGTTTATTGTTATTTTACGCGAGTTTATTTTTGCGCACAGGAAATTTTACTCGTTTGCACATCGTCATAAAAAACAATTTTCGTACCACGAATTAGGGATAAGATTTTTATCTGTATACATATAGTATACCTAATCTGTGCTAGTGACATCCGGTTGTTGCCACGCCACTTACATAAGACACTCTATTAGCGCGACAGCATTTCTTTACGTAGGCTTTAGTAGATCCATTTGCCACTCGATTACCACGCCGCTACCACGTCACTTACCTTGGTGCGCGCCTTGCCTTAGAATACTCACTAATTGGTTTGGGTACTATTAAATTGTTAGAACTTTAGGATTTAAGATGTTCAAATATTTCTCCATCGACCGCTAGACAATAACCCAGGCGATCATAAAGTTCTCTTCTTACATTCGCTAGTTGGTAAACTGAAATTCTATTGCATTCGGCAGAAATAGCATTTTTTAACTCGTCTAGATTTGGGTATTTTTTATCCTTGTATTTCTTGTTTTTTAAATGGCCCCAGAGAAAGAAATCATTTGGCGAAATATCAGGAGACCTTGCTGGCCAATTTACTGTATGATTTAGGCCAATAACGTTTCCGTTAAAACTATTGTCTAAATATTCCCGAACAGCCAGGGTACTATGTGCCGGGCAGCCATCCATTTGGTACCAAACTTCCTGATTTTCCCTAGCGGCATCATATAAAGCAGGTAAAATATGATTTTCGAGTAGTTCATAATAATTTTCTGCATTAAAATTTCGCGTATAAAATAATGGCCCGATAATATTGTGTCCGAATATCCCTGCCCAAAATTTTCTGTAGATATTGCGTCCTTGTTTCGACAAACCTGTGTTGGTTTTCTTTGTTCCAATATCGATAATTTTGAACATTGTGTTCAATATTTAAGGTAAACGTGCATTCGTCAGTGAAACATATGTTTTTTAACAATTCCCTATCCGTGTTTGCTCTTTCCATCATATCAAAACAAAACGTCTGCCGCCGTATTTCGTCCCCATCTCTTGGTGGTTTTCATATTTGAAGGAATAGTATTTATGTCGTTTCAAAATTCGAAACGCTGTAGTGTGATCTATTCCTATTTCATCCTCAAGTTTCCTTGTGCTGATCTTTCCATCGTTCTCTTCAACGCACAATAAAACTTCCAAGTCGGTATCATTTCTTGCATCTTCTCTTTGTTCCTGCCTTGCTTCACATCTGCAGTTATTTATTAGGGTAGCTTTGGTCTCAAATCTCTGCATATTCCTTGCGATTGTAGATTTTTCAGGTATCGGTCTATTTGGATACAGAGCAGCAAACATGTCCGACACCTTTTGATAACTATTTCCTCGATAATACCATTTAATCATCAATACTTTTTCTTCGGTAGTGTAATTCATGGCTAATATTTTCGATGTAGGTATGAGTTTTTAATAATGATAATAAAGCACTAAATAGATAAATTTCTGAAATGACAACTTCATTTGACAGTTATCTTTTACCTTGACTGGTGATGGACTTGCTCATAAGTAAATACAGGGCCATAAGAAAGGAGAAATATTTAAAAAGAAATCGCCGATAACTCGTAAACGGGCTAATCAAAAATATCTAGTTATTCTTTTGAATGTGGGTTTTAGTGCTCTTCAATAAACCTAGATAGAATTATTCTCTAAAATAATTAGGGAAGCCAATAATTGACCCCATTAAAATTTACATGGGATTTCCTATGTCCCGCTCGACGATGCAACATCCGGTATAAGTACCTACGTACTCAATAAAATATTATCTTTTTAGGAATATTAAGGATGAATTTGGAGAATTAATACAGCCCTTGTGTCGAGTCTCGCCTTTGAAAACAATTACTGCTTCAGAAACTCAAGTCTCAAGGAAGAGGTATGTTTAGTCAAATATCAGAATATGCATGGTTCATATTTTATTTTTTTAACTAAAAGTAATTATCCTTTTTTTTTGTCAGTTAAATAGTTTAATTTTTAGGAATATGGAGTATGAATATGATGAAGTGAAACCAGAAAAATTATCAAGAATCTCACCCTCGTCAACATTTACGGCCTCGGAAACTGATATTCCCAACCCTGAATATAATTTATTTAGCTCGCCTGTTCAAGCATACCAAATGTAAGTATCTGTTTTTTAAATATTACCTGGTTGTACAAGTTGAAGATTATTATCTACTTCAAAATTTGTTTTATACGTCCAGTAACACCCCGAAACTAAGAATTATTATTTCTTAGAAAACTCACTAATTGGTAGGATTGTATTTTTTGAGCACAAATTAGCAATTAGAACCTGTAGCTGCAATAGTTCTCTTTAGGCAAATTCATTTTAAAGTGTTATCACGAAGTGTATTTTAGTAATAATTACTAAAATACAATTTTTATTTTACAAGTTAAATTGTGACGTGTTTCGCTCATACGAGCATCATCAGACAAATATACAGTTAAGGTCACACCACACACGTTCACATCTTACATATTAAAACAACACTCGTGTGGAGTGTTGATTTGAAAAAAAACCGCCAAATTGTGATACAAGCATGAAATTTGGCATAATTATAAAAAACGATATTTTAAGAGATTTGACCCGATTAGCCACCTTCCCAGACCCGTAGGACACCCCATACCAAAAATTTTCTTAAATCTTAGGCTTTTTCAATATGGGCGATATTATACTCTATATTATATAATTCGAGCACGGCATATAAATCACACGACCACAGCAGGCCGACTCACTTTGGCGGGAACGCTACGCGCATGTGTCGTAGTCTTTGTCATCGACAACATACATTTACGGTAGCTTTGAGTCAGTAGCGTGCGGCTTAATTTTATATTATTTTTGTATATTGTGTGATATATTTGGTTTTTGTAGTTTAGTAGTACAATGGACGTCCGAAATTCTTTTAGTTTTAATACTCAATCGTTGTCTACGGCATTCAAAGTAATTTTTATTATTAGGTATCCTGCAAAATGACAAACAAGATTCATTTCTAAATTACTGTTTTTCTGATTATCCGTATCTATTTTTAATTTTTATGGATAGCTCATAACAATTCAGAGAGGAAAGAACAGAGGTCTCGTTTTTTATAAGGTCTGGCATTTTTAATAAGATGTTTGCCAGATCATTTTGGCAATTTTCAGTACCCGTGTGTAATATTCGGACACAAAGTTTTTTAAATGTTCTTCTAAGGGTGGCTGCAACGACCTCCCGTAATCCTGCTGTTAAAATATAACAATTGATTTTTATATGTAAAAACCAGCTGTTATTTTTTAACAGCAGGATTACGGAACGTCGTTGCAGCCACTCTTAACTGGATGAATTTATCCTGGATGGGAATAATGATAGGTTTACAAGATATTGGAATTACAAGATAAAGTTGTCGTACCAGATTTTTATGAGTGCAACTGTACACTCAAATCTCGCGACAAGCTTTTATATAATATAAAATTGTGTAATGACGTTCATACTAAAAGTTTTAAAGAAAAAGTTTATTTTTTGCTTTTTAATGTTTTTAAAAAGTTTTTTTTCTTAAAATTATTTTTTACTTTTTAGTTATGCTGGTTTCTCAGTCAAACTCAATTCTTTTTCTTAAATAACTTCCTATGGGCATCCTAATAATATGTATATCGATTTTCATTAAAAAAAAAGGAGAACTTAAAAAAACCGACAGCTGTCAAATTTGACAGTTCAAATGTGAGACAAATAAAATGAAAACCGACTATGGAGTATCGATTTTTTTATCAAAATCGGACAACTTTTAGATTTTTTTGACAGCTGTCAAATTTACAATAGATATTTTATTGGGTATTTCTTTAATTCTTGTTTGTAACTCTTGGCATGTTTTTTAATTTTAATCTATTGATTTTTTCATTTTTACTTTTCGAGGAGTATGCGCGGTTAACGATTAATTTGTTTAGATAAAAGTACAGTATTGTGTAAATAAAGTTCAGTTTCAGTCAATTACAGTATTTTTTTAATACGACCTTGTCTATCAATAGTTTATTTTCTGGGAAATTTTTTGATACGTTTTAATCCGGCCCTGACTCGGCACTGTAATATAATCTAAGCTCGGCACCCATAATGGTGTTTTCAAGGTCAAATTTTATAGGAATTTTAAACAATGGGATCTGGGCAGAGTTAGTCTGCTGTGTGATTTATATGCCGTGATTTGAGGATGGAGAATCCAAAAAAATGTTTCAGGTCGATATGAGCTTTACTGACCTTGAAAACTGTTTTATGATTGAAAAAATTTACATTTTTGCAGACTTTGGTAAATAAAATTTAAACGGCTAACAAACAAATTTATAACAAAAATAAGTAATTAATATTAAAAAGGTCGTTTTTAAAATTATAGTTGTTTACAACGATCATTGACGGAACATTTTTGACGGACCATACCAATAGGTATTGTTGCGAGCCGGTGTGGACTCGACCTAACCTCACAATATGGCCCGCCCTCGGATGACCTTAACATCGCATAGACACCGCAATGATTCATTCGTTCGAGAAGAATCGAGACCCACTAGAATGGACTAGTACATACGAGAACATTCGAAAACCTTCTCTATGCGCCTAACGATCTATGGACTATTCTAGATTTCTTTTGCTGTAGGTATAAAAACCGGCGGCAGTGGCCTAGAGAGGGCAGTTATAAATATACAGTTGACGCGCTAAAATTCAAAATAAATTCTTAGTTATAAATCGTTTGTAAATAGTTCTATAAGTCTTTTATCGTTATTGTTTTTGTTAATTAGTGTTAAATAAATAGTGTTTAAATAAATTGTGACTTTCTATCACACGGAACCGACAAAAAAACGTAACAATTGGTGTCAAGTGTGGCGCGTGTGATAGACTAGAAAAATAAAAAGACTGAAAATGGCTTCGAAAAAATTGTTGAAAGACTTGAAAGTGTCGGAATTAAAATGCATATTGGAAGAGAGGGAGTGCGAGACAGATGGAAAGAAAAGCATTTTGCAAGCCAGACTGAGAGAGGTTTTGATTGAGGAAGGTGAGGATCCTGACACATTTTGCTTTGAGCTGGAAGGTGACCTTGACTCGTCATTGAAAAATTTGCAAGACAATTTAAACGACAATTTGAATAGTAAGATAATTCCCAAAAATTAGAAGATAAAATCATAGAAAATTCTAAAGATATACAGGCCAGCTTTAATAATAAAATACTTAATTTAGAAGAAAGTTTATATAACAAGATAATAGAAAATTCTAGGGAATTAGAAGAAAAGATTATAGAGAATTCCACGGAGCTACAAGACAAAATAGCACAGATTGAGGACGATGTAAATAAAAAAATCGAAATTTTGAAAGACCAAATAGCAAAGGCAAATTCACCAAAATGTCAAGAAACATCGGAGGGACCGAAACTAGTCGAAAATAGGTATGCCTCAAAATCAGTTATAAAACCTCCACAGTTTGACGGAAAAACCGCTTGGGCCAATTATTTTTGCCAGTTTGAGGCCGCTGCGAGCGAACGGGTGGACAATCGCTGAAAAGGCTACCGCTTTGACTGTCGCACTGCGAGGAGATGCGACTGACATTCTGCAGACACTGTCACCATCGGAAGAGGGAGATTATCAGCAATGGTACGACATTTAGAAATGAGGTACGGCCAAGCTCATTTGGAACATGTCTATCATTCCCAGCTAAAAAATCGCATTCAAAAGTCAAATGAGTCTCTGCAGGAGTTTGAAGCCGACGTAGCCCGCCTCGTTCGCCTTGCGTACCCTGCTATGCCCGAAAATGTTATGGAGCGCTTAACAGTACAGGCTTTTATTGATGGTTTACGTGACAACGAGACAAGGCAAACACTTCTTTTAGCTCATCCAACGCATTTGGGAGATGCCCTAGCACGTGCCCTGGAATTTGAGGCCGCGAAAGAATGCTCTAGGTCTCTAGGATTTGTACGGGCTGTTGAGGAGAGTTCCGACGATTCCAAAGTGGAAAGGATTGTGCGGAAAGTACTGGATCAGTATATGAGCAAGAAGGGGGGACCGATTCGCTGTTGGAATTGCGGACAGATGGGAAATCGTTACAAAGAAGAGAAAGAAGTGAAAGTCTTAAGGACGACTGTGGTTGGTGATAGTTGGCAAACCGAAGATCTTGCAAATGACCAAATCAGTGATCCAGAGTTGGGCTTGGTGATTAACTGGAAAAACGCGGACCAGAGACCAACGTGGGAGGAAGTTTGCAGATATTCGCCGAACGTGAAGACGTACTGGGCCCAGTGGAATTCCTTGGGTAATAGATAACGGACTACTTCGCCGTGTGATCGAGAGACCGGAGGGACAAGAAGAGAGAAGACAGATCGTCATTCCAAAGAAGAGGGTCCCAGAAGTCTTGGAGGAAGTTCACAATGGAACCAGCGGAGGACATCTTGTGTTACCAAGACACTTGGCAAGCTGCGTGAACGGTTCTACTGGGTGAACTGCAAAGAAGATGTGAGGGCCTGGTGTAAGAAATGTGACATTTGCGCAGCCATTAATGGGCCACAAAAGCGTGGTAAAGCCCCTATGCGCCAGTACAATGTTGGTAGTCCCTTCGAACGAATAGCGATCGACGTGGCTGGTCCTTTCCCGGAGACGAACGATGGCAACAAATACATTGTGGTAGTAATGGATTACTTCAGCAAATGGGTCGAGGCCTACGCGTTGCCAAATCAAGAAGCGTCCACGATTGCTGATGCCCTTGTTAAAGAATGGATCTGCAGGTTTGGTGTTCCCATGGAGCTTCATTCAGATCAGGGAAGAAACTTTGAGTCCAATCTGTTCCAAGGCGTCTGTGAAGTCCTGAACATCCGCAAGACCAGGACGACTGCTCTACATCCACAATCCGATGGGATGGTTGAACGCATGAACAGAACTATCAACCGTTATCTGGCCAAAGTAGTCTCTGACCACCAAAGAGACTGGGACAAATTTCTTCACCTGTTCCTGTTGGCCTACCGTTCATCCGTCCAAGAATCTACAGGGCAAACTCCAGCCAGCATCGTTATGGGACGGGAAGTGCGCCTACCCTGTGATCTGAAATTTGGTTGCCGACCGGGAGAAGAAGTCGCCGGAGAAGATTATGTCCACACACTACGTCAAAGGATGGACGACATTCATCAGAGAGTCCGCCTAAATATTCAAAGTGCTAGTGACCGAATGAAGGAACACTACGACATTCAAGCTGAGCATGGAGGATACCAACCAGGGAAGTTGGTGTGGCTATATAACCCGCAGAGACGTCGTGGGTTATCTCCGAAGCTACAATCCTCGTGGGAAGGGCCATACGAAGTCATGGATAGAATTAATGACGTCGTATACCGTATCAGAAAATTGCCAAAAGGAAAACCGAGGGTAGTCCATTTCAACCGTTTGAGCCCCTACCAAGGCGAAATAGAAGATCGTGCTGGGACCGTGAGAACCTGCAGCTTTGATCCCCCTGATTCGGAGATGTCCTTTGACGATTTCATGGCCCGATACAACAGCAGTGAGAAGGCTCGCTATGGTGTAACCAAAGAAGATCAACGAGACCTCTTTTCCGTGCCTCCTGATTATTCGCTCGCTCATTGTGTGGCTCGAGATTTGCGGATGTCCAGAGGAATCGCTGCGACGTTCAATGAGAAGTTTGGGCGTGTCGGAGAACTACGCCGACAGGATCCAGAGGTTGGAAGCGTCTTGAGGCTAACCGACAATGCACATGGTCAAGCAAGGCACATCTTCTACCTGGTCACCAAGGAATGGTCCCCGAGTAAGCCGACTTATCTCAATCTATGGAAGACCCTGATTGAACTGAGAGAAGCCCTGCTAAACAACAACATTGCACGATTAGCCATTCCGAAGCTGGCGTGTGGACTCGATGGTTTGAGTTGGCGTACAATCCGGAACATGATTGAAGTCTTGTTCAGATTTACGGGAATCGAGATCCTCGTTTGCTGCTACAACCCAAAGCTGAGATCGGGAGAGAAAACTGTAGACTGCTATTTCTACCAGACTTCGCAATGTACCAGGGGCCAGCTTTGCAAATACCTTCATTCACCGTATACATCTCGGGACGAGCATGTGCCTAAGAAGGGGGCAGTGTTGCGAGCCGGTGTGGACTCGACCTAACCTCACAATATGGCCCGCCCTCGGATGACCTTAACATCGCATAGACACCGCAATGATTCATTCGTTCGAGAAGAATCGAGACCCACTAGAATGGACTAGTACATACGAGAACATTCGAAAACCTTCTCTATGCGCCTAACGATCTATGGACTATTCTAGATTTCTTTTTGCTGTAGGTATAAAACCGGCGGCAGTGGCCTAGAGAGGGCAGTTATAAATATACAGTTGACGCGCTAAAATTCAAAATAAATTCTTAGTTATAAATCGTTTGTAAATAGTTCTATAAGTCTTTTATCGTTATTGTTTTTGTTAATTAGTGTTAAATAAATAGTGTTTAAATAAATTGTGACTTTCTATCCACACGGAACCGACAAAAAACGTAACAGTATGGTAGGCTATTAGGATCGACAAAAAAAAAGTTTTTTTAATTTCACTCAAATTGAGTTATTTGGGTCATAAATGACCTAAATACAAAATATTTTCATGATGTCTGTCTGTCTGTCCGTCCATCTGTCCGTCTGTAACACGATAACTCGAAAACCGCTGAACCGATTTTAACCAAATTTGGCACAAAAATACTGTGGCACCCGAGAATCTGGCCATTTGTTTTTGGTGGGGGTGGGGGGTATGGTAAGGGGGTATGGAACAAATTAAGATTAGGAATAATATTTGCAACAAAATTTGTAATGACATCAAAATCAGTCAAAGTCGCAGTTTTCGAGATATTAACATATTTTAGTATGGGCGGGTATACGTGCCTCCCGGCGCCAATTTATTTTTGTAATAGATTCGTTCATGCGAGCCGATTAATTTTTTTTAACCAAAGTCATCATAAACCAGTTTTTAAGGTCGGTAAAGGTCATATCGACCTGAAACATTTTTCTTTGGATTTTCCATCCTCGAATTATATAATATAGAGTATAATATGCTCATATTGAAAAAGCCTAAGATGTAAGAAATTTTTGTCTATGGGGTGTCCTACAGGTCCGGGAGGGTGGCTAATCGGGTCAAATCTCTTAAAATATTGTTTTTATAACTATGCTAAATTTCATGCTTGTATCACAATTTGGCGTTTTCGATAAAAATTTGCTCGAGGGAAATAGACTATTATTGCTTTGGCTTTTGTATTTTTAAACCAGGTCTGGTTGGAATTAATGGATGCCTTTTTAAATTTTAAATTATATCACATATCTTCAATCTTCAACGAATTTCTATAAAACAAAGGATATTTTTAAGTCTGTCCAATGACAGGCTGACCGTGACAGTTATTGCGTGTTATTTTAATTCACAGATCAATTGAAGTTCCTATCATTTGCTCGATGTCGTCTGTCGAAATCTTCTCTCACTCAAACGGTTTTTACACATTTTCTTGTAAAATGTTGTCTGGGTTTTGGATATACGAGTACATACTCAATAAAATATTATCTTTTTAGGAATATTAAGGATGAATCTGGAGAATTAATACAACCCTTGTGTCGAGTCTCACCTTTGAAAACAATTACTGCTTTAGAAACTTGGTATGTTTTACACAAACATTATTTTTAGAATTTGTATGTTTCATAATTTTATTTTTGAACTAAAAGTAATTGAAGGGTCCAGGGGAAAACATGATAAGCCCCATTTTTTTATTTTAAGGTTTAACCACATTATAATAGGTCTAATTGGTCCCTACAAAATGCATAAACTCTGCAGAGCAATAACCTGTTAAATCCTTTGATATATGCCTAGTAGGGTGAGTCAAAAAAACTAACATATGGAATTTATGGGTTAAAATGTATATTTTGGGCGAACCAAAAAAACTAACCTATGGAATTTATGGGTTAAAATGAACCATAACCGAGAAAAAAATATCCCCGGAAGGCAGGATTTTTAGCTCAATTTTGAAAGGTGTCGGTGAAATTCAAAGTTTTCTATTTATATAACACGTAAAAAAATCTTTTTCCATTAAAAGTATAACTTTGAAACGGTTTATAATAAAAAAAATTACATCCCGGATTCTTGTAGAGCATAAAATTTACTAAAAAATCTATCTGAGAGTAATTTTTTCAATTCAATAATTCGTATATTTGAAAGCTTTGAGAAGTGAAAAAAATCAAAATATGCAGTTTTAGTGTTCATTGTTTAAAATTTAATTGCACCGTCATATTAGGCATAAAATATTTTAATAAGATTATTTCTAAACTTGTGCCAACTTTGGATCAGGACAAGGGTGCATAAACAGGAGGGGTAATTAGGGTTCCGTACCCAAAGGGTAAAAACGGGAACCCTATTACTAAGACTTCGCTGTCCATCCGTCCGTCTGTCACAAAGGTCAATCATGGGTCTATCTTATAAACCGTTATAGCTAGACAGTTGAAAAGTGGTGAAGCTTGAATTTTGTGTATTCTTACACAATACATTATCATTTAAGTAAGAATTTTACATAAAATCTTTCAAGTCCTCGGTGGCCGCGTGGTTAAGGCGTTAGGACTTATGACATTGAGCCGTAGTAAGGCAGGTTCGAATCCTAGTCAAGGCGACTTTTGGGTCCGTTCGACTTTACGGACACAAGAATTTAAAAAAAAACAAAAATTGTCCTGAAAAGTACGAGTTTTAGTAGGTAATTTAAGCCAAAAAAATTTGCGGATTATCCAGTAAATTTTAAAATATTGAAATAAAATGATGGTACTATTTGATGCTGCGGAGGAATTTTGACAGATGGCACAAACATATGATGACATTAACCTGTGCGACGTTGCCGCTATTCTACGCCAATTTTTCATGTGCCGGTCGCCGGAGGAACGGCTCCTACGGTGACGCCATCATGGTGAAAACAAATGAATTATTTTAAAATCTGTGTATAAAATCTAATCATTGAAAGCACTCAGATTCGTATTAAAATATAAAAAACACAGCTTAAACCCCTCACCATAGAAAACCTAACCAAAGCAACCCAAATCCGAACCAATCTAATAATATTTTTGCAAAATCACAGTTAATTATTAAAATTTAAAAACCACAGCTTAACACCCTCCGCAAAGAAAAGCTAATCAAAGCAACCCAAATGCTAACCAATCTACTAATATTTTTGCAAAATCACAGTTAATTATAAAAATATAAAAACCACAGCTTAACACCCTCCGCAAAGAAAAGCTAACCAAAGCAACCCAAATGCTAATCAATCTGATAATATTTTTGCAAAATCACAGTTAATTATTAAAATATAAAAACCACAGCTTAACACCCTCCACAAAGAAACGCTAACCAAAGCAACCCAAATCCTAACCAATCTAATAAAATTTTTGCAAAATCACAGTTAATTATTAAAATATAAAAACCACAGCTTAACACCCTCCACAAAGAAAAGCTAACCAAAAATTCAAAACCACAGAACCCCTAAAAGAATATTTAACATAACCTCACTTCAGTAGAAAATTATATAAAATAATTATATTGACAACGTCGCAAATAGCATTCGAAGGCCGTCGACAAAGCCATCTATATTGTCTAACAACAAGCCGTGAAGTTAAAAAGGCAACGTCGCATATTTCAATTTAAGTGGTCCGGCATAACTTAACGTAACTTTTGTTTTCATGTTTCATGGTGGCGATCGACAAAATATGAGAAAATAAAGTTAACTAAACAAAGCGGAAAGCGGTTTGGCTTTGAAAGAAAAAAAATTACACAAAACGGTTTCCACAGATAGCTTTGATAAAAATAGTTTTTAAATAGATCGTTATAGGAGAAATGAATAAAAAAGAGACCACACAAGAATTACAAAAAACATATTTTATTTTTATTATATACACATTCCAATAATAAATTATTATTACTGGATACAAAATACTTAAAATAACTATTATCTACCTAGTACATTACAACAATTTAGGTACGTAAGTACCTAACCTACGAGGGGTGACTCACCTTGGAATTTTGTATTTAATACCTAGGCAAAAATAAATAGTATATTTATTCGTGTTAATGACTGTTGCGAATCGGTAATTATTGATTTTATAAAAAACGATAATTTACTATAAGTAGGTACAATATTTTAAAAGTGAAATCAACTGTAGAATACTTAAATTTTCAGAATCCTGATACAAATTTATAGCTTTTTGAACATTTGCGTATGCTTTGTCTACATAGTACTCACATTTTTTCGGTACCTGCCTTGAAAACCTGTATCTAGCAAGTTTCTTGTCCTCAGGTAGAATCCATCTCAGCTCACATACTGTTAGTTCACAGTTTTCTATAAACACTTGTACAGTAAATGTACTGTCAATAACGATACTCGACACAACATTAACACTATCTTCACTGTCTAAGTCATCAATACACACATTCAGCAGAAAAAAATAAACTTTCCCATCCTTAACTTTAAAATTCCACAGTCCCAAACACACTTTTGACTCAAAAGTTTCAAGAAATTCAGCAAAAGTATTTATTTTGTCACTTTTCAAGAAATTTTCTGTTTCCTGTTGATATTTTCCTAAATTTCTCTTCCTTCTTGTTTCTGGGTCAGCTCGAGAAGTTGTTAGAGGTTTTGACAAGTATTTGGGTTGATTAGGAAAAATGTGCGGCACTGCACCTTCACATAATCTTGGCCTTTTGAGTGGGAATTCGCCCAAAACCCCTTCTTTATTTTTATAGGTTTCAACTCTTATTATCTCGGATTTTTCAAAATGTTTCTCGCAAACTACAGAACTATTGGAGAATTTAAAATTGTCCCTATGTCGAATATGTTGCTCTTTTGGAAAAGAAACTGTGGTTTTCATTCCTTCATGTTTCAAAGCACTGGCATAATTTGAGGTACAGCCAGGAATGCAGCAATGTTTAGGCATCTAAAATTAATCATATTTTTATCAAATATGAATAACGAACACTTTTTATGAAGCAAGATTACAGAATACAAAATGTTTAAATTATTCAACCAACTCACCTCGAGTTTTACGTGGTTTTTACTTGTTTAAGCTACATTCTAAATCAATTCGCTGGCTGAGTCATACTTTGGCACGCAAGCTTATGTACTTCAGTGTACTCATTCACAACAAAATTCGATGCCAGAGTGCAAGTTGAAGTTGGATTGAAAGCTTGCAAGCTGCAAACCTTTGCTGCAAACTTCCACTTCAGCACGGAATTTTCGTTTGACAATTATGACAAATTTGACATTTAAATTTTAATAATTATTTTGTTTGTGTCGTTGTTACAAGCCATTTTCCTGTGAAAAGTAAATAATTATTAAAAGAAAAATGAGGGAAGGACGCTATTCTTATTTTATTAGGACTTGTGGCTTTGCAGTTAAAAAAACGGCAATTATTGTTGCAGCTCAATAATTAGCCGAAAACCAAGGGGTTTACCAAAACCCAAAAAATGGGATGTCCGACCCATATTAATGGCGAGAAAAAGTTTTGGGTGCTTGAGACACATTTTAGAAAAGAATCATCAATAAATGACGTTTTTGTTTCCATTTTTCTAAACATAAAAACTTGGAAAACTTAATTAACAACTGTCCCGGATTTTGACTCTTCCAAAATCAAAACCAACAACTAACCTAAAAAATGTCAGGAGAATGTTTAAACACGCATGCGCAAAATTCGAATTGAAATTTGTTGTGAATGGTTAATTTCGTGCCGACTTTAACGTCGAAGTGCCACTCGGCAAGCGAATTGATTTCGAATGTAGCTTTACACCTCGTAATTTGGGGAAAATCGATAAAAATCTAACCACAGAATTCGTGAACCGTAAACCATAAAATAATAAATACAAGAAGAAGTGTCAAGTCAATGTTAAATTATGGAAACAGTGTGGCTGCCTGGGTAACTAATTTTCAGATATGGCGGCTGGGACATTTGACACAATTTGACATGACATAGACATGACAATTTCAATTTTATGAAATTTATTTCCGTTTCCGGTTTTTAATGGCGGGCTGATCAGGAGGTTTAAATGAGGGTTAATATACTTTTTACTCTTTCTAGTAGTAAATAATACAACAAAATTACTCAAAAATATTTATTTGGAATTTAGAACAATGTAAATCAACACAATTAAAGAGCTATAATCCAATAAACTACTGTATCAATATCAAATATTTAAATAATATCAGAGATGCTGTGTTAAAGTGAATTAGTAAAGTAACAGTGCATTGACTTACAGAAACTTGAAGATAAATAAATGTTTTCACAGCTTCACGGGCATAAAACTTAATAACTCGAAGCAGGAAAAAGGCAACTGAACCCACACAAAACCTGAAATCAAAAAAAAAATATGTAAAAACATAAATATAGGTACATAAAACTTTTTGTGAATTAAATCAAACAGGACTTGAATGAAAATAAAATGAATAAAAAATATGATACATATACATCTAATACCTCATTTGTATTTTAAAAATAATCTACATACATAGATTTATAGCATTATTGCTATGAAAATACATAATAGGTACCTATGTGATATGTAATTACGCATTTCTGTTCATCTTGTAGAAAATTAATGTAGGCTAATAATAGTTCAATAATCATAATTTACCTTGTATAACTTGCTTTCAATTGCTCAAAATCACCGATCTGTCTTTAAAGTAGAGATACGGAAAAATCCTTGGCAAAGAATATCCCAAGATCCTTGGGTTTAAAGCTAAAAAAATATAAAACAGTTAATATATTACCTATTTTTACATATAATATGGCCCATACCTACTACACGCAGAAACGTCGATTTCATCATTTTCTTCATGTAATTAATATCATATATACTTTATTAAAGTGTTAACAAGGAACTTTATATCAAAAAACATCTTTGTACTTATAAATTTCAGCCGAAATATCAGAAACAAACTTCTAATCAAATCTAAACGGCAAAAATTAAAATGGCGCCCGACCTTGCCAGAGGCCTCGGGAGCTGACGCTGACACACAGACAAAAGACAAAAGAACAGGACGCCGACGTGCATAAAAATGTTCCGTAGCAGAAATTGACAGAAATCATATAGAAATATTCAGATTTTTGTCTAGGACAGTCTAGAAGGCCATGCTTTCTGCCTGGGTAGAACCGCGCCACAACTGTTTCCAATTTTCCGGTTTACTGTCACCCCCCTGCCGTAAACCAGCGGACTAAACAACATGTTGCCGGATTGCGTACTTCACGGCTTGTCGTTAGACAATATAGATGGCTTTGCCGTCGACCGTCGATCAACTGTCAATCAAAAAGTCAATGGTTGTTAGCTCGGAATATTGTAAATACATGTATTTTCTTAATTTTTACGGTTACAAAGAAGTTTTCTTGAATTTTTGTGCTTAAACTAGGTCAATCCACATCTATATAATGTAGTAAAGTGTTAATATTCGATGTTTCTACCTAATCTGTATGGAAATTTTAACGTTTTTAGTGTCCGTAATATCGACTGGAACCCGACTTTTTTTTAATCGTTTTTTTTTATTTTTACATACTTATTTTTACTTTTTACATATTTATTATTGATTAATACAATTTTTAGTAATGCGTTTCTTCATTTTTTTTAAATTACTTATACGCGCATTCAAAATATCAGGTAAATCGGAAAAAAGTTTATAATAATATAGTGTCTAATGTTGTATAGATAATGAATGGTACGGAACCCCCTTCGTGCGCGAGTCCGACTCGCACTTGACCATTTTTTTTAATTAAAAACATTGGTTTAGTTTGTCAAGCGTTTACATTTTCATTAAAATTTTTCTGATTTTCAAAATTTAGTGTTTATTTTCATTTCCTGTTACTGTAATTAGTAAACCTACAAAACATAATCATTACAAGCATAATAGCAGTCGTCACATTACGTTCCGAAGCGTTTTCGCGCTGTCCTGTAAAATCAGTGAAATGGCATTTTTCATGTTTTTCCCCTGGATCCTTCAATTATCTTTCTTTTTAGTCAGTTAAATAGTTTATTTTTTAGGGATATAAAGGATGAGTGTGGGGAAGTGGAACTAGAAACATTATCTAGAACTTCACCCTCGTCAACATATATGGCCTCAGAAATTGATATTCCCAACCCTGAATATAATTTATTTAGCTCGCCTGTTCAAGCATACCAAATGTAAGTATCTGGTTTTTAAATATTACCTGGTTGTACAAGTTGAAGATTATTATCTCCTTCAAAATTTGTTTTATACATCCAGAAACACCCTGAAACTAAGAATTATTATTTCTTAGAAAACTCACTAATTGGTAGTATTATATTTTTTGATCACAAATTAGCAATTAGCACCTGTAGTTGCAATAGTTCTCTTTAGGCAAATTCATTTTAAAGTGTAATCACGAAGTGATTAGGTAACAACCCAACCCTAATTATGATATATTTAGCTCGCCTGTTCAATGATATCAAATGTAAGTATCTATTTTTTAAATAGGAAATGGTTATACAAGTTTAAGATTACTATCTATGTTAAAATTTGTATTATATGTATATCCAGAAACACTCTACATGTATATCCAGAAACACTATGTGGCTGATTCATCTTTCCAAAAAATCCTGTATGGGTATTTCGCCATTTCACTGCAAGAAAATCTACAAAATAAAATAATTATTTTTTGTAAACACTTCTGCGTTAAACCTAAACGGACGCTGCTTGTAAAAAAAAAAGTTTATATGATAGGGCAAAAATAATATGTACAGGGTGGACCATTTTGGTTGTTTCCATAGGGTATCTAGGAAACCGTGAGAAATATTCAAATTTTGATACTGCAGTGTCGGGTTCTTTTTTTGAAAAAATTACAATGGCGCAAAGGGATCGTGGCTATCTTGATCGGTTTCGAAGCTACAGGGGGATTCTCAAATTTTGTACTTTTTGTAGATGTTCGATAGTTTGTTTATTTCAGCAACCAGGGAAAAATGAATTATACATTCTAAAGGCACTTTTCTGTGTAGAATGCAGTGGCGTAGTCAGACTTTTTTCGAAAAAAATATTTTTTGAGATATTAACTATAATTATGTTTTTTTAAATAGAAACTCCCTGTATATTTTTAAATTTTCTTATTCAGCTTGGCATGGGCTTCTCGAAAATATATAACACTCTATATTTATTTTCACTATTAACCTCAACATTTCAAATTTTTCTTAAAATATCCACTTAGTAGATAGTAGGCCGCGCCGAGTAACAAAGTAAACGGTTGTCATGGCGATCGGGACATACCTTTGATGAATGCGGGACATTTCATTTCAACAGATTGATGTGTGTGTATTTTAAATAATAAAAAATGAGTAAATTTGAAAATTTTGAGAAATATAACATGTTAGAATGTTATATTGAGTCTAACAAACATAAGCAAATGGCAGCTGATTTATATTTTGAGCGGTATGCAGAGCGCGAGCAACCAAACCCAGCCATTTTTAAAAGGTTAGAAGATAGTTTAAACAAATTTTGGATTTTTTCAAAAACCGCGGCCGAAAAATTATCAGAAAGAAGATGAATAAAATCAATATATTAACGTCCTCGGAGCCGTAACACTAGATCCAACAACATCAAGTAGAGCTATTGAAATGCTGTTAGCGGCGGCGTGCGGAGACGGTACCAACTCTGTCTAGATAATAATGGGCAACAGTCTGAACATCTAATGTAGTCTTTGTGTTTTTATTTTTTTATATTAACTCAGAAGTCCGGTTTTTTTAAGTGACCTCTTTAGATTATATTTAAATATGTTCTTTTGTTTCTGTCACACTTATTTTTTATTTGCTTCGTATTGTTCGATTTTATTTAATTGCTAATTCATGTATTCGGCTCCGAGGACATTAACATATTGATTTTCTTCATCTTCTTATAATTTTCCGAACGCAGTTTTTGAAAAGATCCAAAATTGATTAAACTATCTTCTAATCTTTTAAAAATGGCTGGGTTTGGTTGCTCGCGCTCTGGATACCGCTCAAAATATAAATCAGCTGCCATTTGCTTATATTTGCTAGACTCAATATAACATTCTAACATATTATATTTCTCAAAATGTTCAAATTTACTCATTTTTTTTATTATTTAAAATACACACACATCAATCTGTTGAAATGTAATGTCCCGCCATCCAAGGTATGTCCCGATCACCATGACAACCGTTTACTTTGTTACCCGGCGCGGCCTACTATCTACTAAGTGGATATTTTAAGAAAAAAATTGAAATGTTGAGGTTAATAGTGAAAATAAATATAGAGTGTTATATATTTTCGAAAAGCCCATGCCAAGCAGAATAAAAAAAAATAAAAATATACAGGGGGTTCTATTTAAAAAAACATAATTATAGTTAATATCTCAAAAAATATTTTTTTCGAAAAAAGTCTGACTACGCCACTGCATTCTACACAGAAAAGTGCCTTTAGAATGTATAATTCATTTTTCCGTGGTTGCTGATATAAACAAACTATCGAACTTCTTCAAAAAGTACAAAATTTGAGAATCCCCCTGTAGCTTCGAAACCGATCAAGATAACCACGATCCGTTTGCGCCATTGTAATTTTTTCAAAAAAAGAACTTGAGACTGCAGTATCAAAATTTGAATATTTCTCACGGTTTCCTAGATACCCTATAGAAACAACCAAAACGGTCCACCCTGTACAGACGACATTTCACTAAATAGAGATATAAACCACATAAAAAATACATTAATCAAAAACGTCTATCCACCATATTTTATTGACAAAACCTTAAACGAAATACAAACCCCAAATCATAGATACAATGATAACAATACACAATATATACAACTTATAATTCCATACATACGAGGCGTTTCGGAAAAAATAAGAAGGATAGGAAAACAATATAACATACGAACATCTTTCAAAACACAAAATACACTTAGATCCATTTTATCACATACTAAACCAATAAATACAGAACAACAAACAAAAAATGTAATATACCAAATACTCTGTGAATGCGATAAATTTTACATTAGTGAATCATCTAGACCCTTAAATGTTAGAATTAAAGAACATAAAGATTATTTAAGAAAGGGAGATTTTCACAAATCTAAGATTTGTCAGCATTCTTGGGACACAGGGCACAGAATAAATTTTAATAACGCCAAAATTATAATGAAAGAAGCGGTAGCCTCTAAAAGAAAAATAAAAGAGGCTTTTTTAATTCAATCTAATAAAAATAAATGTATTGCTCATGCATCTGTAGATGTTAGTAATGTATGGCAATCGCTTCTTTGATTTTAAAGAACAATAGATACAACAAGATAAATAAACATAACATAGTAAAATTAAAAAATAATCATACAGAAAGTTTGGGGCTTTTTGGTTTTACCTTATTAAGTAATTGTTATCAGGTCGTAATTGTTAATTTTGAAGTTTAAATATCAAGTTAAAAATGTCATGTTAACAGAACGTCAACGGTTTCTTGTAGACGTATCTGTTTTAAAAAAGTAAAGTGTTCTCGAATAGTTGAATTTAAATATTTTAAATAGTTTTTTTTCTTTATTCTTTGTATTTTTTTGCTTCCGACGAGGGAAAGAGATAACTTTCCGAAACGTTAAGCATTTTTTTTTGCTTTGTTAGGCAAATTTGTATTACCGTAAACATAACTTCGAACAAGCAGCGTCCGTTTAGGTTTAACGCAGAAGTGTTTACAAAAAATAATTATTTTATTTTGTAGATTTTCTTGCAGTGCAGTGGCGAAATACCCATACAGGATTTTTTTTGAAAAGTGATTAGGTATTTAATAAGTCCTCAATCCATCTATGTTTTACTGTAATTATTTTTTATTTATTAAGTTTATTGTTACTGTAAGTTGTACGGCTCTTATGGTATTCCAGTATCAAATATTTTGAATGTGTAAACCATGCTTGTTTTAAAGCATAAATTTTCATTATATCACATACCTTTTTTTTTTCTATAAAACATGAAAGAATATTTAATAAAGTCTGTCCATGGCTGGGATACATGAGCGTGACAGTTGTATGTTATTTTAATTCAAAGATAAATTGAAGTTTTTATGATTTATTCTATGTCGTCTTTCGAAATTTTTCCTCATTCAGACTGTTTTTTGTAAAGTGTTGTCACGGGTTTGGATATACGTACTCAATAAAATATTATCTTTTTAGGAATATTAAGGACGAACCTGGAGAATTAATACAACCCTTGTGCCGAGTCTCACCTTCGAAAACAATTACTGTTTCAGAAACTGAAGCTTCAAATAAGAGGTATGTTCTACATAAACATAATTTTTAGAAATATGTTTTTTTTTAATTAATTTTATTGTTCACTAAAATCTTAAATTTAATTATTCGTCTGAAAACACTATGGTTAGTAATTTCCCATCTGTTTCAGAGAGAGTTTATACATTTTTTTTTGTAAAATGTATTCTCGCTTTTGGTTAACTTGCTGCTTATACTCAATTTATTATTATTTATTTTTAGGAATATTGAATACAAATCTGCAGAAGTAGTTCGACCCTTGTGTCGAGTCTCACCCTCGTCAACAATTACTTCTTCAGAAACTCAAGTCTCAACAAAAAGGTATGATATAAAAAAATTAGAATCAAACACTAAATTAATTGGTCATTAAACAATCTTACATTTAACTATTGTTTTGAATCCACTATGGTTAGTAATTTCTATTAAAATTACAGAGTTTCTTAATACATAATATATTTTACTAAATTTATATAAACATTTATCATATGATCGAAAGAAGCACCTGGTTAGAGTTGGATTTGAACTGATAGTCTAAGAGCTAGCAACGGGTTCGAGAAAGTATTTTAAGAAAGCTTGCTTTTTGATATATCTTTTACTATGCTCTCTGGAACAGCATGCATATATCTGGTTGCCGATACTCGTTGCGTTCACTACTGCGCATCGGAAGAAGATCCTATATATTTTTTTTATTTAGTTCGTTAAATTCTAGTATTGAATATAAATCGAACAAGTCTCCATAGCGCAGCGCGTAGAATTTCCGACTACGAACCGAGGATTCAGAGTTCGAGACCGGGTCAGGGTTAAAACTTTTTTATTTTATTTTCGTTTATATTCTGATCTCTAAAGTATTAAATATTTGTTTTTTTAATCACCAGAATTATTATTAATATTTAATACTTTACTATCAGAATATAAACGAAAATAAAATTAAAAAAAATTACCCCTACCCGGTCTCGAACTCTGACTCCTCGCTTGATAGGCGGAACCTCTACGCGCTGGGTTATGGAGCAATAGTTGAATTTAAAGGACTAATAAAAATATAGGATCTTCTTTCAATGCGCAGTAGGGAACGCAACGTTTACCGGCAGCCTGACGCGCCGCATGCTGTTCGAAAGAGCATAGTAGTTGTTTTCCCGACGTTGCTAGCTCTCGTACTAATGATGATTGCTGCCATATTATTTGTAAATGGGGAATGTTATCCATCGATATTTCCAAGCAATTACCAAGTGGATGCTGTTTCTTTCGATCATACTCAAGGTATACTCAAGAGTATTTGTATTTATGTGCTTCCTCTTAATTTTCCGATTACTGCAAAACGCGAAAAAATATTTTTAAAGTCTGTCAGAGAGTCTGTCAATGAGAGGAAATCTAGCTGTGACAGTTGTTGCATCTCATTGTAATTCACATATACAGGGTGGTCCGAACTGTATTCCGGAAACTTCGGCAGCATATTCTGCAGATAAAAATAAGTAAAAAATTTCGTATAAATGTATGTCCTAAAATGTTTAATTTCGGAGATGCAGGGTGTAGAAGTTTCATTTTTATTTCGATTTTTTCCAAATAATTTCTTAAGTAACGTCAATATTTGGATGAAAATTGGTGTCTGGGTGTTTTGTGACACGAGAAATTTGATTTTGATATCAATATGACTGCTGTTTGTAGGGGGCGCTACCTACACGTTATTTAACTTTTTTGAAGAGTAATAACTTTTCGTCCGTACCTGTATGAAAATACTGAGTGAAAAAATATACATTTCCGTGATTTTTTACTTAAAAAATATCTCTTTTGGTAAAAATCGCTACGAGCAATCGTTTTCAAGATATTTAGAATGGAAATAGTCAATACATGTCATTATTGACAAAAAATAAACATGTTGAGTAGATAGTTATTTGACTGAAATGATAAATTTGGGAATATTTTATTTTTTTCAAATTAATCATAAATTTTTCTTCGAAAAAATGATGATAAAACAGTTTCTGTTGAACTTTTGACACAAAATCATTTCAAATTTATGATTTTAATCTAATAACTATTTAGTCAACGTGTTTATGTCAATGATGACAGGTATCGATAATTTCGATTCCAAATATCTAGAGAACCACTACTCGTAGCGATTTTTACCAAGAGACCTTTTTTACGTAAAAAATGCCGTTAATGTTTATTTTTTTACTCAGTAGTTTTATAGAGGTACGGACGAAAAGTTATTACTCTTCAAACCAGTTAAAAAATATGTAGATGGCGTCCTCTACAAGGAGGAGTCATATTGACATCAAAATCAAATTTCTCATATCAAAAAACTCCCAGACACCAAGTTTCATCCAAATATTGACGTCACTTCAGAAATTATTTGGAAAAAATCGAAATAAAAATGACTTCAACACCCTGTATCTCCGAAACTAAGCATTTTTGGACATACATCTATACGAACATTTTTACTTATTTTTATCTGTAGAATATGCTACCGAAGTTTCCGGAATACAGTTTGGACCACCCTGTATAAATTGAATTTTATTATTTACATGTTATTTACTCGATGTTGTTTGTCGAAATCTTCTTTGTCTCAGAGTTGCAAAATTAAACACTAATACAGCAAAACACTTTACTCTTAAAACTGGAAGCGCGTTTTGATACCCAACATGGGCAGATGATTAAAAATAATTTAATTCTACCACGTTATACTGTTAATTTCTATAAAACATGAAAGAATATCACACCGACGGAAACACCCTTATTCACCAAGCTCTGGACAGAGAGTCATATGCCATATTAATCCTCATACAACCTCAAGAGAGCAGGCACCTAGGTGGAGGAGGATACTGTTAATCATCTGCTGATGATGCTTATCTGGTGACCGAAACGCGTGTTCAGTGTCTTAATTTAATATGTTTATTTGCCTTAAATGAATGTTTCAAGTTTTTATAAAACGTAGAAACTATTTTTAAAGTTTTCCCTTTGAGAGGCATAGATAAAAGAAACAAGTTTAGATTGGAAAGTGCCCATAAGGACAATGTAAATACTATTTGGCGCTATACTCACAACGGTCGCGATCCAAAGCTTTTGATAATTTCGGAGCGTTTCGGCTTTTTCCGGAATTATATCGCCAAATATATATTTATTCAAATTTATTATTATTTTCTTTTAGTTTTATAAATAAAATACAGTGTGTTTCACATAAGAGACTTTATTTTATATAAGGATACGTATGTAATACCTATGGAACATTGGAAACCGGCGTTATGCCACGATGGTTTTTGCAGTTCACAGTTCACACAGCTTTTTAAGTTTTTTAATGCCACTTTTTCACAATTATTATGGGTTTACGTAAATAAAATTTAAATTAAACTCACAAGATAGCAGTAATTACTTTGAAAATCGACGCTTTAAACACTTATATATTTATATATACGTATTTTTTTAATGAGTGCGGTTTAAATTTTGAAAGATTCTATAATTTTTTATGATTCCAGAGACAAATGATTCTGAATTTCACAAGAGAAAATCCTTCCTGTTCTTGTTTGCGGTTGCTCTTAGCAACCGCTATAGCAGCGCCAGATCTCAAACAATTATACGTTTTGGCGGGAAGCCGAGCATTCCAATTTAAATTTATGGTAATTATTGCATATACGGTTTTCGGCTATTTATGGATTATATAAGAAAATTTGGCTTCGGTGAACTATCCTGACACACGATTTTTCTTAGAAAATAAAGCTTATGTTACCTTAAAGTGAACTTTTTGGATTGTTTGACTAAAATCTGATGTGGAAAAACACGTTTCACATAAAATACATTCTTAAAAATGTTGTTATTTTATTTTTATAGCAAATTCTCGATCAAATTCTATAACGGATAATAAAAGAGTCGCGGACTTGTTTATATCCGTTTCTATGTTTACGCTGACAGTAGTGAAGGTCGAATTTTGACAAATATTGCGAATTGATACATGGTTGTCAGATCAGCTAATAAATTATCCGGAATTTCATGCATCTTTTCATCTTTTTTTTTAAGGAAAAAAATGACGTCATAGGTTTTAAAATGTTTTAGTTTTTTTTAATACGAATTAGATTACTTTAGTTTAACAAATTGCCTAAATTAGCGCCGGCGAGACAATTGCTAGTTATAGCCATAGCAATGAAAACACCCTGTAAGCGTGTTTTCATTGCTTTGGTTTGCGTTTGGCTTGGGTTGGGTTGGTTTGGTATCGGTTCGTTTGGTATTGGTTGGTTTAGTATGGGTTGGTTAGCGTTGGGTCGGGTTTGTTTGGGTTGGTTTGGTTGTTTTTTTGTTCTTATTTATCGGTTTGATTGATTTAGAATTTAGAATAAGTGGGAGGGGGGTTAATCTCTGCGACCTTAGAGATCTATTGTGTCCCCCTTTCTTGAGTTATAACTCATCATACAGTCCCAGGACTTCTTACGGAGACCCGTGTCCCTCACAGTTGAGGAGCTACGACCCAGACCGGGTAGACGAAACGGTAGCTTGTGTCGCCTGTTGGGTTTAGAGGTAGAAGGTAGGCTCCCGACCCTTGGAAGAGGTGGTAGCTTGTATACCACTTGCGGAGGATGGTCTCACGCAAGTGTCAGCCACCTCTCCTGTAGTTCTCTTTGGGTTTGGCCCTGAACTTTCATTGTTACTGTTCCCAGTGTCGCTAGGGGGTTTTCCCACAGCTTCACCGGTGATGTTTTTATTACTATTATTACCAGATCTCATAGTGTTCCTATGAGTCGCTAGGGACAGTTGGTCCACTTCTACAGAGCCCCGCATGTAGAAGTAAAGGGTAAAATACAATGGGGTGCCCCCCAGTGCCCCAAGGTTGAGACTGTCCGTAGCCCCGCCCGGTATCGTTATATGTCTTGGTGCAATTCCCTGGCCACGACACTACAGTCAGGAACAAGACGATGAGTGAGATGCTTCTTAGACCAAGCCAAGCGCTAGGGGAGATTCCCCCCAGCACCTGACCAGGAGCTTCCCCACCAACGACAAGGTCTTGCATCTCCTAGGGGAAGGGTTGATTGATACTTTGGTTTAAACAAGAGTGAAATAAAAGCAATAAAAAAATATAATAATCCATTTTGAAATCTCGTGCATTTTTTTATTTAAAATTATTATTAAAAATGGCTATTTTATCAAAATGAAAATAAAAACAGAAAAAGAAAATTTAGTGGAACTGGCAACATTACTTTTCCTTCTGTCGCTGTTATGTCAAATCAAGTGTTAAAATTCCCCATAACGTCAAATATGTGTCAAAAACTACTAATATTAAATTAAAATATTTTAAAATTCTGTGCGTAATCTCTATTTATTTTTATTTAAAACTACTACTAAAAATGGTTACTTTTTGATAAAAAAAGAAAAATGCAAAAATCGTGTCAGGATAGTTCACCGGACCCGAAAACTTTTATATACTCACATTCTATTGTCCTTAGAGATTGCAAATATACTGGGGGAGGAGAGAAATTGTGTTTCTTTAAGTATTTTTTCAACCAAACAAACTTACAGGACCGGGGAGCGAATAGGGGTGCTTAAACAATATGCTGATTAAGGATACTCATAACACCCATTTCACAATCCTTTAATTAAGCTTTTAATGTAAAATTTCTTCAAAAAACTATGAAGAAGTGTTTTATTCAGAAATCATTGGCAGGTTACATTGAATGATATGCTGACAGTAGTGAAGGTTGAATTTTGACAAACATTGTGGATTAATAAATGGTTGCCAAATCAGCTAGTAAATTGTCCGGAATTTCATGCATCCTTTTCTTAAGGAAAAATTATGTCATATGTTTTAAAATGTTTTTATTGAATTTTTTACTTGGTTTAACAAATTGGCTAAATTGCCGCTAGCGGTATAGGGAATTGCTTAGTTATAGCTCTAGCAATGAAAACACGCTGTGAGCGGTTTGGTTTTGGTTGGGTTGATCTCGTTTGGTTTGACTCTTGTTTTTTTTTCGCATGTTAGAAAAATGTTTTCTCTTATTTTACCAAAAATTGCATTTTTCCTCAACTTAAACTCTTTATGTTTGCCTCAACAGCATTAGAATAGACACTTCATTTTATTTTATAGAAAATTTCTTAATTTTGAGGGCCATAAAGTAAAACGGATCCCAAATAGCACCAAAAATATAATAAACTATTTTTTAATCTAGTGCATTTTTTTATTTAAAATTATTATTAAAAATGGCTATTTTTTAAAATAAAAATTCAAAAACAAAAATATTAAAGAAAATTCAATGGAGTATATTTGCAACCTCTAAGGACAATAGAATGTGAGTAGGGTTTTTCTATATAATATAAAACCAAAAATAGCCGAAAATCGTATATGCACTGTTACCAAATTTATTTCCTTTATCTATGATATATCTATAATGAGAGGATCCCTGACCGTGACATTTATTGCCTGTCATTTTAGTTCACAGATAAACTGAAATTTCTATCATTTACTCGATATCGTCCATATATCGTCTCCCGAAATCAGAAATCAGTGAAATCTCGAAAAAAAAATGATATCTCGCCTTTTGCATATACAAATAAATACTCAATAAATATATATTTTAGGAACGCTCAGTATGAATTAATACAACCCTTGGGTCAAGCCTTACCTTTGCAAACAATTACTGCTTCAGAAACTGAAGGCCCCAAAAACAGGTATGTTCTACACAAACATCATTTTTGGAATATGTATTTTTTTAATTATTCTTTTGAAAACTAGTAATTTCTTTATCTTTTTAGGAATGTTCAGTATGTATTAATACAACGCTTGTGTCGAGTCTCACCTTTGAAAACAAATACTGCTTCTGAAACTGGAGTTTCAACACAAAGGTATGATCTAAACAAACATTATTATTAAATATATATTTGTTAATTAATTCATTAAACATTTATTTTTCCTGTGAAAACGCTATGGTTAGTAAGTTTGTTAAATGTTAATCACTATCTGCTTCCTAGTAGATTGAAACAATTTTTCAAATTTATTTCAACCAGTGACATAAAACACTAACATACCCTTAAGAAGTTCTAATAAAATAACTACCACATAAGATACTTATTTTACATAAAACTACACAGTTCATATCCGTAAGTGTATCGAATTGTATATATTTATTAATACTTGTATATTTTATACCAAATTGAATTATACCAAGATATATTATACGATCGAAAAAAATACCGCGACAGAGTTGGCTTTCAATGAAGATTGCTGTCATTTTGTATGTAAATTTATATGATAAACGTTATCGATCGTCATTTAAAAGCATTTGCGAACTTGAAGCATTTTGTTTCGACACACCTACCCAAAAGTTTTTCCATTTACTGTAAAACGTGAAAAAATATTTTTAAAGTCTGTCCATGAGAGAAAATCTGACTGTGACAGTTGTTGCGACTCATTTTAATGCACATTAATAGTGGTCCGAACTGTATTCCGGAAACTTCGGCAGCATATTCTGCAGACAAAAATAAGTAAAAATGTTCGTATAGATGTATGTCCAAAAATGCTTAGTTTCGGAGATACAGGGTGTTGAAGTTTCATTTTTATTTTGATTTTTTCCAAATAATTTCTGCAGTAACGTCATTATTTGGATTAAAATTGGTGTCTGGGAGTTTTTTGACATGAGAAATATGATTTTGATGTCAATATGACTCCTAGTAGTAGAGGGCGCCACCTACGTATTTTTTAACTAGTTTGAAGAGTAATAACTTTTCGTCCGTACCTGTATAAAACTACTGAGTAAAAAATATACATTTACGACGCTTTTTACGTAAAAAAGGTCTCTTGGTAAAGATCGCTACGAGTAATGGTTTTCGAGATATTTTGAATCGAAATTATCAATACCTGTTATCACTGACATAAATTAAACATGTTGACTAAATAGTTAGTTATTAGACTGAGATCATAAATTTGAAATGTTTTTGTACCAAAAGTTCAACAAAAACTGTTTTATCATCATTTTTTTGCACAAAAATTTTATGATTAATTTAAAAAAAATAAAAATTTCCCAAATTTTATTATTTCAGTGAAATAACAACTATACTTATACTCAACGTGTTTATTTTTCGTCAATAGAGAACAACGGCCTACGGTCGAGTCGGCCGCTGCTGGCACGTATACGTAGACGTAAAGAATCTTTTACGTGTATAAAAAATATAAGAAATGCGCATGCGTACGTAAACGTTTACGTGTTTGTAGTCTGTGCCGTTGTTCTTTAATAATAGCATGTATTGACTATTTCCATTCCAAATATCTTGAGAACGATTGCTCGTAGCGATTTTTACAAAGAGATATTTTTTACGTAAAAAATCACGGAGATGTATATTTTTTCCCTCGGTAGTTTTATACAGGTACGGACATAAAGTTATTACGCTTCAAAACCGTTAAAAAACAAGGCGCCCTCTACAAGTAGGAGTCATATTGACATCAAAATCAATTTCTCATGTTAAAAAACTCCCAGACACCAATTTTCATCTAAATATTGACGTTACTTCAGAAATTATTTGGAAAAAATTGAAATAAAAATGAAATTTCTACACCCTGTATCTCCGAAACTAAGCATTTTAGGACATACATTTATACGAACTTTTTTACCTATTTTTATCTGCAGAATATGCTTCCGAAGTTTCCGGAATATAATTCGGACCACCCTGTATATAAATTGATTTTTTTTATTATTTACATGATGTTGTTTGTCGAAATCTTCCTTGTCTCAGAGTTGCAAAATTAAACACAGCAAACACTTAAACAATGGAAGCCCGTTTTGATAACCAACATCGGCAGATGATTAAAAATAATTTAGTTCTACCATGTTATAGTGTTAATCTTATGTCGATGATGCTAACCTTGTTAGCGAAACGCGTATTCAATGTTTCAATTTATTATTATATTTTTTTAGGAATAATGAAAATGGATCAGCAGAATCAATTCAACCCTTGTGGCGAGTCTCACCCTCAATGATTACTGCTTCACAAACTGAAGTTTCAACAAGAAGGTATGGTCTATAAAAAAGAAAATTTGTAGAATAAAACTCTAAATGAATAATTGGTTACAAAAATCTTAAATTTAATTGTTCTTGTGAAAACATTATAGTTAATAATTTCTACTAAAACTACATAGTTTCTTAATACATATATTTATTAATACATGTATATTTTACTAAAATTATGCAAAGATTTATCATACGATCGAAAAAACACCGCGTCAGAGTTGACTTGGAATTTAAGATTGTTGTCATGTTATACCGGGTGCGTCTCAAAAGTGGCTCACCCCTATAACTTTGTTATTTTTTCAGATAAAAAACGGGATTTGGTATGTTAGTATATGACATAAATTAGGATTGATTGACATCGGTATTTTTTTTTGCTTTATTCAATAGAAAATTACACTGAATCGAATGACATATCATATGTCAACTTTTGATATATTCGCTCAAAAAGAAATTTTATTTTAAATTTCAATGTTGAGTGTTAAAAACACTAATTTGTGCTGTGTTAAAAACACTAATTTTTAATCAAGGAGCCTTGGAAAAATAGATTTGATCGTCTAATGTTTTTAGTGTCTTGTCCTGGTCGGTTAAAAGATGCCCAAATCGTATTTTTAATCATATTTCAATTTTTTCAAATAGAACGAGGGTGGCTCATTAGCATATTTGGAAAAAGTATTTTTTACGTTTAATTTGATACCACACACTTGGTATTTCGAGTCAAATTGTCGTTATGAATTGCAGGTTACAATTTCAAATAAACCATATGCGAATATGTCAAAAGTTGACATATGATATGTCATTCTATTCAGAGTATCATTTTCTATCGAATAAAGTAAAAAAATACCGAGGGTGCCATTTAGAAATCAAAAGTTGTAGCCATCTGGTGAAACTGGAAGTGACCGAAAATAATTAAATATGTCAATCAACTCTAATTTATGTCATATACTAACATACCATATCTCGTTTTATTTGAAAAAATAAAAAAAAGTTATAAGGGTGAACCACTTTTGAGACGCACCCGGTATAGTGAATGTTATCTATCGTCAATTCAAAGCATTTTTCAACTTGGCGCCATTTTTTCGATCACACGGTATACTCAAAAGTATAGGTATTTATGTGCTTATTTTTGAAACATACTTTATAATCTATCACAGCATTTTTGACTCGATTTTTGATCGAAATTACCAGAAATAAATTTGTAAAACTGTTCTCCTAATTATAAAATAGGTAAAATACACGAAATTTGGTGATTTTTCACAAGATCTGGAATGTTTTGTGAATTCGAAGGAGTTTTTAACGCTCCGTTGAAGAAATGTGACATACACATATACATTCTCTACATGGTACAAAGAAAACAAGGTATGATCGATAGCTGCTCCAATTTCGTTAAGTTTGCGCATACCACCTGTGACGTCATACGCCAAAAAAAAAATATCCATATTGTTCAATTGTCATTAATAAAAAAAAGACCTAAAATAGGGAAGAATTAGGACATAACCCCAAAAGTTATCTCAAATCATGGAGCTTGACATTTGAAAAATTATTTTCACATTTTTATGTCATCTGTTTGACAATTTCAAATTGGCGCGCGGAGCTTGCCGACCAATGGTGCCGTTTATCACCTGTGACGTAATGACCAACCTGCGCAATATCATACCTTGTATTCTTTGTATCATGTCAATGACGGTATATAAACAAAAAAAAACAGGTTCATTACAATATCTTGACGATTTGAATTGGCGCGCGGAGCGTGCTGACCAATAGCGCCTGTTATCACCTGTGACGTAGGGACCAACCTGCGCAATATCATACCTTGTTTTCTTTGTACCATGCATTCTCTATGTGACATACTCGTAAGTCAAACAAACGTCAATCTCATCAATCTGTAAATCGTGAAAATCTACCTAAATAAAAGTAATCGATGAAATCAGATAGAAATTGCAAATTTTCCATAAAGAAGACAAATAATAGGAAAAATGGGTAAAAAAGGATGAGATTGATATAATATTAATGTTTTTTTACAAAATTACGTATTGACGTAAGACGTATTGATAAAATAGTGCATGTGAAATTTCTAGATACAATATTAACAAGACAAGTATTGTATTTAAAGGTATAAATTGAGATAATTAAATGGTATTTATTTACTCCAACCTATAGTTTTCTTTAAATAATATATAAATATACTTACTGTTTTCGTTGAAAATATTCATGGCGTTAAATGAGTAAGTACAAAAACATTCAGGAATTGATTAATAGAAAATAAGAGGGGTTTGCGTAAAATATTTTTATTTGACGTTTTCATACAAAATTATTTAGTTATATATCCTTATTATATATACACAAGGGTTATATGTATAGATAACGTAATAATATGTTAGAGTTTAAAAGAATTTTACGCGAACTTATTTTGTTTGTTTTGTTTATAAAAAAATATTTTTAAAATAACATGAAATGTATGAAACAGTAGAAACTGCCGAACACCAGTCATTTTATAATTAAAAAGACACTTGTTCAACGATGAAGTATAACTTTATAAAACCATTATTTTTCACGTTATAGTTATTGACCCAAACCAAATGATACTTTTTGATGATTTTAAAAAATACGTATGTGTAGGACTATATTTTTATTCGCATAGATATGTTGAAAAGTTGTAAACATAAATCGTGTATATACCTATATTTACTTTTGCACCTCCAATTTCGGCAGAAGTAAACAAAACATTCTGCGAAATATAATGGGCGATCATCGTCGAATTTACTTTACGTAGATTGTCTGCAAGGATACTATATAGAGATAAGAATAGTTCGATTCCTATCTTCCTGTACTGTCAGTTTTTTTACGTTATCTAGGGACCGAGTTGAAGTTCGCGCTAAAGATTTTAGACAGTGACAGTTATTTCTGCGTTTGACGGACGAGCGCACAGTGTGGTGGAAGATAATCTAGCGGGACAAAATCATTCGGTTAGAAATAAAAGCCAAAAATGTGTGCTGATAAGAATAAATAGTAGACATTCCAATTGATATAAAAATGCATGAATTATTTTTTGGTCGTATATATTCTTTGTATTTCGATACATTTTTATCAACCAAATTTGATCGTTTTCTGCTCAGCAAGGCAGAGGTCATACGAAAACAAAATATTTAAAAGTGCTTATACATTTTATTCCAAAGCCAAATTATGTTGAAGATTGCCAAATGTATGTACTTTTCTACTGTAGGTATATTATTTGTTAAAATCCTTCGTCCCTTTGTTCTGCAAATATCAAACTTCCACTTTTTTCAAATATTGATATATTGAATGATGTAGATCTTTTGACATTACCGAGTGTTAAAATTAAAACATCTATCTTATTTATTATTTTCAAAATAAAATAGAATTTTTTAAAATAAAATATACAGGGTGTCACAAGATTACAAAGTAATTAAAAAATAACTGCTAAAGAGTTTTTTGTAAGTATTTCACCTGATATCATAATTTTATGTATTTGGCAATAGTTTACAGTACGGTTTTTCATGTCACGAATATGTCATGTACGAATAATATCATAGTTTTATTATCTTGTATTTATTTATTTATTAATAAATTAAGTTGTTATAAAATAAATAAGTTTAACCATATGGTTGCTATATATTAGACCATTTGCTACGTTCTTAGATTTTAAGTCCCAAACATCGCTCCTGAGATTTTGTCCCGCTAGAATAACCATCCGCCGCACTGTGGAGCGCTGGTCCCTGCGTGACGTAAGCATCCACGGCGACTACGACAGCGGCGATTTGACGCAATCGAACAGTCCTTTAGAATATATAGAGTCCTTGGATTGTCTGTGCTTTATTATAATCGAGTTCTGTCATAATTCTAACAAACTAACCTAATGACATCTAAATAAATTAGAAAAAAATATACTGTTCAATTTGCGAAGTTTGAGTCTTTCTTCACATATTGTCATTCTCTCTCTTATCCATGTTTATCACATGAAATGGAAATTTTGTGTCAAAAACGTAAGTCCTAATATTTCTCTTACATCATACGATTATTTTTTTCGTTTTACATACGGAATGCATACGGATCACCTTCATTACTTATAAAGAATCGTACGTCCTTGTCTAATGTGTATGAATAGAAAAAGGCAAACATCATATTTATTGTATTACCCGCCGAAATCGAACAAAAGAATATCGCCGACTGTCAACGTTGTCGTTCACAAAACACCCCCCTTAGAACTTCGTCTGTCATGTTAAGAAATGAAAGTAAATAATAAAGCGCCTCTCGTGTTTGTTCGCACTCAAAAAATTTCAATTAATGCCTGTATATATTTTTAATATATTTTTTAAATTTACATTTTTTTAATTGTAAAGTAATATATTACATTTAAATGGAATATATTACATTTAAATGGAATATATTACATAACAATTATGTCAATTACAGGATTACAAGCTTGTTTTCTAACATTTTTTTAAATAAAACGAATTATAAAATTTCAATATTTGTATATTTGTCGTAGGTATGAAAAAAGTAAAATATGAAATGGACAAACGCTTACTTACATTGCAATAAAACTTCCACTTTTAGTTTTGCAATCCAAACGCAATATTTCTATTTCACAAATAAAAATATCCGACAACAATAAAATCACTGAAACTTCCGCGGCTGACAACGAAAACTGAAAAATATAACGGCACTTTTTGTTTCAGACCTGCATATCAACATTACGCTGTATATTATATGTTTGTTGTTGAAATAATATAAAATATATATCTAATTATATAACTTGTAAATTTTAATATTTTAACATGATTTTAACTACTTTTGACAATAACTTTTTATCAAGATGACATTTTAGACGGCAACTGACATATATGTCATAATATTTGAATCTTAAATATGTATGTAATATAATTTAAATTACTATAATGCAACTTTATACTAAGAAAACATTTATACATTCACAAAATACAACAAAGTCTAATAATATAGTCTGAAAACAATGAATATTGAATTAAAATTGAAAAAGTTAAGCGCGACCCCTTGTGTCAAAATTAGATGATTAAATTTTTGCAATTTTTACACCATTTGATGACCGGTGGCGCCTCTAGTGTTTGTTCGGACGGTTGGTCTTTTACTCACGCTTATGGCCATTAAAGAAAAAGTTCTAAAGGGGGATGTTTTATGTTGTCGTTAAATTTTAACGACTCCGATAGTTTCCCGTAAATTTTTGTGGGATTTTCTGTGTTTATTTAGTTATTTGTCATTTAATTTGTGTTTAAAATGCCGTCCCGTTTTAGTGAAAAAGAACACCGGCTCATATTAAAAGTTATCGAGTATTTGAACCTCGAAAAAGATAGTGGGAAAAAACCCTTTTACCTGTGTCGGCTGTTTACGGTGTAATTGGACAACTACCGAGTTAATATTTTGTAACTAACTCATTATTTTGGAGTTAAAAGTTTTATAGAGAGCATCGGAGGCTTTAGGAATTTCATGCTCGACTGTGCAAAGAATAAGTTCCAGAGGAATCGTGAAAGAACAAAAAGCAGCAAAACAAGTCACAATATTCGTTTGTCCCCTGAAATTCCTGCTTATAAGATCCATGAACATATTAATAGAGGACGTATTTATTCATTGTATACACTGCGGGTAGGCTACAATAAATTTGTCATTGTTTAATATTTTGTTATTAAATTTGTTATTGTTAGTTTACAACCAGAGATATAAACAACTCATGGACCAAGTCAAGAAATACGTGAAAACCAATATGGCGCTGAAAATGATGACGAAAGTTTCAAACTTCGCAAATTGAACAGTACATCTCTCATTGGGAACACCTTATTTAAAAGCAATGCGTTCGCTGTGGGCAGAAAATTTTAACATTTATGACGTCATGTCTCGTTTTCGCGCCAGGTTCCAGATTGCGAATTTCAATAATTAATTTAAATACCTTCCAGATGGAATTTCTACATACTGATTTTATATACACTCATATGCAAAAAAACGCAACGGAGAAAATTTTGGTCAAATTTAAACTATTATATTTTTGTTATTTTTAGACCTATTTTCATGAATTTTTTAGCAAGCTGTATATAATTATATCAACTTTAATTTGTAAACTCAGTTTTTTTATAAAATTTAGTATTTGGCATATTATACAAGGTTAATCGAGGGGTTGTTTTTTTACCCTAACTTTGACACACCCTGTGCAATAATTTCGTGTGTAAATTTTCCTGAAATATAATTTTACGGCCAGAACCATGTCTCCTGAGCATTTTATTTTATGGATCATGTCAATACATGCCCTCGTTAATTTTTAAGAGCGAAATGAACTTGCCACCAACAATTTGCAATTTTTTTAATTATAATTTATTATTGATTTTTTTTTTCAATATGACAAGGCAGCTTTGGTGATTATTCTGAACTATATACTACTATGAACTGCCCATCATGTTCGACGTTTGGGAAATGCTTGGCAGGAGGGTTAGAGGTCGCGAAGCGTTACCAGCTTCACTAAATGAACTTCGCTTGGTCGCTTGGTTGTTTGTATACTTCAGTATTACAGATATTTTCCTTATCGTTAGTTCTGTTATCGTTATTAATGTTTATTAAAACCAGGTCTGTATCGTTTTCACGTTTTTTTTAAATTTAGTTTAGACTGTCCGATGCAGCATAATATGACGTTGCGACAATCGTCACCAAAACCATCTCGACTTAAATAATAAAGTAAAAAATTACATCAAAAGTAATGATAACTGCAAAAATTGCATTTCGCTCTTAAAAATTAACCAAAGCATGCATTGAAGTGATCCAAAAAACAAAATGCTCAGGAGACATGGTTCTTACGGTAAAATTATATTTTAAGAAAATTTACACACGAAATTATTGCACAGGGTGTTTTAAAGTTAGGATAAAAAACAACCCTTCGATTAACCCTGTATAATATGCCAATTACTAAAGTTTACAAAACACTGAATTTACGAATTAAAGTTGATATAATTATGTACAGTTTGCTAAAAAATTCATTCAAATAGTGTTAAAAATAACAAAAATATAAAATTTTAAATTTTACCAAAAAATTCTCTGTTGCGTTTTTTTGCATCTGAGTGATGTTTTAGGTAAAGATATATTAGAAATCATAAATATTTAAGTTTTGCCTGTCACGTGCACGGACCCCATTCTACCAAGTTATAATGTTATAGTCAAAGGTTATAATATCATCAATCATATATCATCTGCTGATGATGCTAACCTGGGTACCGAAGTGCTGTTCAGTGTTTCAATTTAATATTATTTTTTCAGGAATACAGAAAATGAATCTGCAGACTTTATTCAACCCTTGTGGCCAGTCTCACCCTCGTCAATAATTATTACTGGTTCAGAACCTAAAGCTTCAAGAAGAAGGTATGGTATGATCATCTAAAAAATGAAAATTTTTCGAATAAAATTTTAAATTAATTGGTAATTAAAGAAATCTTAAATTATTCTTTTGAAAATATTATAGTTTGGTTTGAATACGTCAATCAATCCCAATTTATGTAATATACTAACATACCAAATCTCTTTTTTTTATATGAAAAAATAAAAAGTTATAGGGGTGAGCCACTTTTGAGACGCACCCGGTATAGTTCGATAGTTTCAGAGATATTAATAAATAAATAAAAAAATTATATTTTTCAACCTTTATTAAAAAAATATTACAAATACAAGAACTGTCCTGAAATCAAAGCTATATTAGGTATTTACTTTAGATGGTAAAGAAAATGGGGTTGGATAGGTCACACCTTGCGGAAACCTGATAGTAATATAGCGAGATCAGCGTTGGAGTGGAATCCCCAAGGAAAAAGAAAGCAAAGGACGACCTGCTCAAACATGGAGACGTTCTATACTGGATGAGCTTCAACAAGTAGGGTCAACATGGAAGGAAGCAAAAACAGCTGCCAAAAATAGAACCCGATGGAGAGCTTTCACTGAAGCCCTTTGCTACGCGTAGGAGATATAGGATCCTATATATACTTTAGATGGTCCATACTTAACTTTGCTATAAGTATCGTAATCTTAAATCATACAGAATGTTCAAAATTCTACGCCAAAGTTTCTAAAATATAAAATAATTTTTTTTTGTTTTTTTAAATGGAACACCCTGTATATTATTTTTTTATTAGATGGAGAATTAAAAAATAAACATTTTTTGTATTTAAAGTATTTCAAAATTTTTAATGGTTTCACAGATACACGCAGTATTATTTCATATGGCTCTCTTAACGGTAAAATACGAGAGAAAAATAATTGGGCGGCTTTGATAAAAATTTACTATGGAAAATGCCATATGAAATATAAAACCGCGAATATCTGCAAAACCGTTAAAAATTTAGAAATAATAATCTAAATACAAAAAAAATATATTTTTTAACTCTCAATCTATTGAAAAAATAATATACAGGGTATTTAAAAAAACAAAGAAAAGTTATTTTATATTTTATAAAGTTTGGCGTAAAATTTTCGCACATCCTGTATGATATACGATTACCATATTTATAGCAAAGTAAGTACAGACCATCTAAACTCAATATTTAATATAGTTTTGATTTCTGGACAGTTCTTGTATTTTTAATGTTTTTTTAAAGAAAGGCTGAAAAACATATTTTTTATTTATTTATTAATATCTCTGAAACTATCGAAATATATTTACTCATATCTTAGAATTATGTAAAGTGATCTAAAAAGAAGCCAAAAATACAATAATATACAGGGTGTTCAATTTAAAAAAAATCATCCCTATCTACTCACATTTTCTTGAGCCACTATAGAAGTTAAACTATTTTCCTGGAATACATTGTAGAACATACTTTAGATTTGCATCTAAACAAAATTCCTAAGTTTTTTATTCTTGGAGCTACAGATACCCGACGCACTATTGCCGGACCCTGTACATTAGTGCCTATTAGTGCGAGGAAGTCCAATATCGTCGTCGTTGTCGAAGACATGAAAAAAAGGGTTTTATAAAGATGTTTCATGGTTTATAAATAGTGGAGTGCTTTAAGCCCTTATGGGATACAAACCTCGGAATTTATTTACTGTAAACGAATTTTTATAAAACTTTTTGCATTGTATTGTTAATAAGATATATTACAAAGTTTACCCATTTAAAGTCTTTTCGTGCCGGTGAATGTATTTCAATAACTATACGTTTTAGTCATATTCTTTTCTAATGAAACAAACCTTTATTTTTTTACCAGAATCCAAAAATCAATTAGTATATAGGGTGTTCCATTCCAAAAAACATAACTTTGATGTGTAACTTTTTTTGGGGACACCCTGTAGAACTCTACATAATTTTAGAAAATGCTTTAAAGTGACTTACTTAAGCTCACAAAATTTCACTTCAATACAAACTTTTGTTCTCCTTGCAAAAACCACGTCGTATATGACGCGCCACCCTGTATATTTTGATTTCAATCAAAATTTCAATGAATAGAATATAAGCAGAATAGGTATAGCTTATGCATGAGATTTATTTATTTCAATAAATAATAATTATAAATAAATTTACTTAGAAAAAGAATTAAAAAAATCAAAATATTAAGAAGGAAATAATTAAGAATTTACTAAAATTACTAAAATAAAAAATTAAAAGCAACGAAAAAAAATTGGTAAACATTTTAGTATTTTATCTATAAAACACAGTACAGAAGATTTCACATTAATACATTCATAGTAATTGAATTCCGAGGTAAACGTCTCTGGGCACTCCACTAAAAGGAGCATATCCTAAAAATATTTTGTTGTATACAGTGTGTCACAGAAAAAGTTATGATAAAGTTTTAAGTTTTTTTCAATTGCTCTCCCCATTTTTCTGTAGATAATTGGATTCAGCATAAAATTCTGCATCTAGTAGACTATTTTTATTTGCAGCATTATGCGTGTCGCCATTATACAAATTATAACTTACTTTGCTGTCATTATGATACTTGGAGAACTTAACTCAACTGAACAGCGTGACTTCTTAATTCTTTCTCCCCGAGAGACCCCCTAGACTCCCTTCCCATTTACCTTTTAATTATTCTACATATTGATATTTACAACAATAATAATTAAACAAAGTTCACCTTCAGATCTTAGTCTGACGTCAACTTGTTCTAGTTTAATTTTTATTGTGCAAATATATTTATAAAATGATTTATTTTAATGATAAACCTAAAATTATTGCTCTTGACAATATCTCATTTTTTTAAATACAACACCCTGTATATATTTTTCTTTAAGATGTCGAATTAAAAATTGAACATTTTTTGTATTTAAAGTGTTCCTAAATTTTTAACGGTTGTGCAGATATTCGCGGTATTATGGCTCTTACAACAGTAAATGTTTATTAAAGCCACCTAACATGATCTTTGTCTGGTATTTTACTGTTGAAACCCCTATATGTAATATAATTCAGCGAATATCTTCAAAACCGCTAAAAAATTGAGAACACTATAAATACAAAAAATGTTCATTAATAAGTCTTCATGAAAAATAATATACGAGTGCTGCATTTAAAAAAATAGAGATATAGCATTTTAAATATTCCGATTTTGGCGACTCCATAAAAAATACACTGTATAGGATAATGTAAATTTTTCTTCTTGAATTTATTCTGTTATCATTAATTAGCGCTTAGGAAATTAATGCTGTAAACACCGTAAAAAAAATTCAAATTGAAATAGTGTTAGAAAAGTTAATAGAATTTTATGCTAAATCCAACTCACTATAGAAAAATGGGGAGTGTAATTTAAAAAAACCTATAATTTTATCATAACTTTTTTTTGTGATACTCTGTATACTCGTACAACAAAACATTGTTAGGATATTCTTCTTACAGTGCCATACTCTATATAGAGCGTCGGTTACCTCTCGCATGTACTTGTGATGTGTGTCATCAGTAGTAGTGGGAACTATATAAAACCTAAAATTGATATTTATTAGTAGTGGGAACTATCGAAACATTCGATAGTTGCAATTCATTCGAATAATTCGATAGTTAGTAAGAAAACGTTCGTTGAAAACTATTCGAATAAAAATTATCGAATAGATCCGTCATCTGCCTTGAAATATTGTATTCTAGTAATTCGGCAGCAAAAACCATTCATTTATAAAATTCATTTATTTATGAAATTCATTTATTCGTCAGGATCGATTATAATAAAATATTAACTGAATTTTAGTTGTCGCCCGGCGACGTAGGTTTCTTTCCGAGAAACCCGACAGCGGTCGGTGGCAATGCTATGAAAGAAGCCGGCATCTTTGATTTTTTGCGGAGTCAGATATAGATAAGGACACATTATTTTTTTTATTGAGGTGCTAGTATTTACACAAAAAAATACATTATGAAGGGCGCTGTTGCCATATTTTGGTATTAGTTGATATTAGCAAAGAATATTATTGTTTGGCTTTAGTTAGTTAGGGATATATGTCTATATATTTTATATTTTTTTATTAATATTCTGTTGTTACACTGCAATAATACTTGTTATTTTGGATGTAGGAAAATTATTTTTAATGTGTTTAAGCAAAGACTGGTTTAATAAATAATAATAACAGTAATAATTTGTTATACCTATTAACAACAAAATTTGAAATCATTTAATATAAACATTTTTTTTAAGTAGTAGCAAAATATAAACAACAAATTTGATGTCAAAATTATTTATATTAGATCCTATTTAAAAATAATATAGTCTCTCAATTTTTTGTGGCAACGTTGGTTTATTAAATAATAATAATTACAGAACTAATTTGTTATATTAACAACAAATTTTAAAATCATGAAATATAAACATTTATTAATTTTCTAAGCGTGCAGTGTAATGCAAGGAAAATATAAATAAAAATTAGAAATCAAAATTATTTATATTCGGTACTTTATATTACTATTTAATAATAATAATATTTACTTTTACTGGTATTTACTTACTAAAAAATAAATGAAATATTTCTTCGCAAAAAACTACATGTAAGAGAATTAGCATAAACAAAATACAAACATCGTTAACTTTTTTTTAAATTGGCACGTGTAAAACTTTTAATTTAATTTTCTCACCCCATAGTCTGAGTTCGATAACCATTTACTTAACCACATTAATTAATATAATTATTAAGTTCAACTAATTCATATTATTAAAACATCTAAAATACAAATATGTATTTTTAAAATTAATTGTAAGTTCATCTCATCTCTCTTAAAAATTGCTACTTCTCAAAATTTCCCATTAAAAAATAGACCATATACCATATAAAATTAAATAATTGAAAGATCGGGCTACGGAAAATCACACAAACTTTCGGAAAAATTTTGACCACCTGCACACGCACACAATCGTCAATTAAAAAAACTACTATTTTAGTATTTTAAATATTTTAATAAACGCAAAAATAGCACAGTATTTATAAGGCGAAGTTATAAAAATTTGGAAGAACTAATAATGCACTGACGCACACAAAAATCAAACGAATACTAAATTTCATTTATCAAAAGCATTCGATAGTCGTGGCTCAACGATAACCATTTAGTCGCACGGCGAGGTTGTCACATATGCTTTAGTATACAAATGAATGAATGATTTTATTCGAATAAAACCATTCGATAGTTGAAATCATTCATTCAGTAACCATTCGATAGTCTAATTCATTCGATGGTTCTCATCGCTAGTCATCAGTGTTTCACAAGTACACGGGGCCTACAGTTTATCACCGAATCCGAACGGCACTATTTGAGAGGCTGTACAAGGCAAATATACTTAAGGTGGTTTGCCATTGCCTTCCTTGAGGTGGCGACAAGTTGGTCGCTCTATTTAGATAAATAAATATTTTTATTTAAATAAATAAAGCGACGGCACTGGCTGGGGATCGAACCCAGTACCTTCCGCTCGCAGATCGACGCACTACCGCTGGAGCTACGGCAGGCCTTTTTTTTCGACCTTTTTTTTAGGATATGCATCATTATAAACCATGCAACATTTGTATTAAACTTTTTTTATATCGTCGAAAACAACGACGATATTGGACTTCCTCGCACTAAGGGGCCACCCTGTATATACTCAATAAAATATATTTTTTTAGGTATATTCAGTATGAACCTGGAAAATTAATACAATCATTGTGTCAAGTATTACCTTCGGAAAAAAATACTGTTTCAGGAACTGAAGTTTCAAAAAAAAGGTATGATCTATACAAACAATAATATAAAAAATAAATTTATTTATCCAACAGCCACTACTTACCTACCGACATTACTACTACCTTAGATCTTATAGTTTGACCAGTGATAATAAAGAGTTGATTTGTGGATTTCCGACGATATTTTAGATTTGTGTTTTTTGATAGTTTGTTTTTGTAGTGTGATAAAGTTAGTGCACAAATTAGTGGATAAATAGAAAATTGTGACTAATAAAAGTGTTAGCTAATATGTGAAGCTGATACGAAAATCTTATCCTTAAACGAACTCCACAACACTAAAAGTATGAAAACCTCTGAAGTATGTTCCATATTTTCCAAAAACAAGATATGTGTTATTTAAAATCGTTTTTTAAAGCGACTTTTATTCAGTGAAGTATATATTTATGTTAGGTAACTTAATCACTTTAAACATTATTAGGCAATTTACCTTTGATGTTTTTTTTCTTTAAATAATTATTATACTAGTAAATATTATCCAATAAATAATTAATATTCGAATAAGAATATTATTTTCTCTAATTTATATATTTTTATTTTGTACTAGTTTGAAGCCTGGCGCACCCGCCACGACATCAGGAGAAAAAATACTTTTTATTTTTTTTAATTAAACGAAAAACAGAAAATCCGGCGACTACAGTTTTTAGAAGAGCCAATTAGCTATCTTTTAGTAAAAAAAGCAACTTTGTAGAGCAAGTCGTTACTCCAGTAGAGACGACACAGATAAACATTAGCATTTTATATATGTAGATTTTATGACATAAAAATGACATATGCCCAAAAGAAAGACAGACGATTGGTCAATCAGTGTGAAAGACAAAGATAATCAGAGAGTCGAATGTCGCTGATGGGTCTTTAACAAAAACAAAGCGAATTTACCTTTGAATAAGAAGACTAAGGAAGGAGCATAATGCTATCCATGTATTCATGCATGGTGGGCGGAAAAAGGACTCTAGGGTGGGGATCCTTGACAGTTCTGTTTGACGATTCATTTGACACGTTTGAATTTGATTTGAAATTTTGTGGATTTGTCAGTCTTTACGGAGCTTATTTTATGTTATTTATTATTTATTCTACTACTGATAGTTGTATAAAGGTAGTAAATCTAGATGGAAATTGTGGCAGAACTTAAATTAACAGTGACACTATCGCGATTTATCGAAAAAGACTCGATTATTATCGCGATTATCGAAAAAATAGTTGGTTGTGTTGTACGTGTAAATAGTACGTTTTATATGGCTGCTTCTTTCTCTCTTGTTATATTAGAATGAGATAGTGGGCCCAATAGACGCAATGAGATCAACATAAATAGAACGAAATTTTGCGTTCTGAGTTGCGCTACGGGAACGTTGTCCCTCTTTTTGCCATTTAATTTGCCAGTCTCTTTTTATTTGTTTGTCTATGGGCAGCACTTAAATTAACAGTGACACTATCGCGATTGATCGAAAAAGACTCTAAAATAGTTGGTTGTGTAGCGTGCGGTAATTTCGGCAAAAATCGAGTGAAATAATGGAACAACTTTTTGCTAGTAAGTGGCTATATAATATACATACGTGTAGTAAACCGATCATTTATGAAATTCACTTAAATTAACTAATTATATACTGTTTCTTGCATTTTTGCTTTTATTTACTACTTGTCAAAGATTAGATGTCAAAGAATTTAAACGTCAATTTGACTTACCTGCTTCAGTAGCGTATCGAATGTTTGTGTTAATAAATAATTATTAAAACTTATCTATTTTTATTATAATAATATCTTTTTATAACATTTTTAATAACTACCAACATTTATTCATAACGTAAAATAATAAAAAAATTATTGAGTCTATCCCACGTCTACCCTACCATCATAGTTTTACATTTTTTAAATAAAATTAGAACGGCACTGATAAACCGGAATTTAAGTCGGCCATATTTGAGTTCCATCGTGGTGGACCTAAGATTTTTGATATGCTCCTTCCTTAGTCTTCTTATTCAAAGGAATTTACTTATTCACGAAGTGTATAAGATCTAAGATTACTACTTACTACAGACATTAACTACGACTTACTACAGACATTACTCACATGTATACATGCATATAACATAAATAATAACACACTAGTGTGTTTTAACCTCAAAGCCACCATTTTATAGAACTTATTAAGCTTTATTCATAAATTGAATCCTGGTCTGGAAATCTTCCTGAATCATTTTTCTTTAAAATCTGACTTGCTGGTTGAGAATTCGCTATTTTATCGTTAAAAAATCTCGATTTATCTAAATGACGTCTTAATGTCAGTGCTATTTATTATTTAGAAAAAAACGCACATCTATATTGCATAGTTAACATAAACGCACCCTGATAATTTATTAATTCGCAACAATGAAAGTAGAACTGGTAGATCCTTTTATCTACGTCAGTAAGTTAAGAAGCTCTTTACTTACGCATTTTGAGTGAGTTAAGAGCTTCTTAACTAACGCATTTTCATTACCGCACTCCTTGTTTAGATGACTACCAAAGAGAAACAAATATTTTGTAAAACATTTATTTTGTACTAAATTGGAAAAATATATTATGAGTACCTTTTCATTTCCATAGTTGTGTACTTTTTTTTCGGTGCACCATTTTTCATACTTAAGCTTCATTCAGAACCTCCCAATTAGTGGAATAAATTAGTGGTTTCAATTACACTTTATACTTTTTAGTTTATGATCATTCACAATGACTAAAAAACACAATTAAAATTAATAAAATATCATAGCTGCAGTAGTTTGTTGTATCCATAGAGAAAGCATAATATATTTAGCTTATAAAACAATAAACTTTTGATTTCTAACTAAAATTTTTCTTGACGGGTGATAATCAAAGGCCATGATATTCCTCGCAAATTTTGAAGTATAATTAGTTGAAAAGTCAAAAGTTTGTTAGCTTTTTCCACTAATTGAAAATTACTTAAAGCTTCATTCAGAACCTCGAAATCAGTGGAATATATTAGTGGTTTCAATTAGCTTAGAAGTTTGTTCCTCTAATTTGAATGTAAGCATTCAGAACGTTAAAATTAGTGGTAGAAATTTTCAATTAGTGGAAAAAGTTAACAAACTTTCAACTTTTTCACTAATTATTATACTTCAAAATTTGCGAGGAATGTCATTTTGGTCTTTGATTATTATCTGTCAAGAGAAAAATGTAGTTAGAAACAGGTCTCTTCTTCAATGTCAGAGGGAATACTTTCCGAATCGCTAATTTTTTAAACTAGTGACATCAATATTATTTACTGTCATATTGACATTGCCATGCATGGTGTTATTAGAACAAAAGTATTAAGGTAATTGATTTTTAGGATAGATATATACTTAAGTACAATAATTTTTAAAATTCGTTGTGTGTTTTTATAGTTAGACGTAGATAAAATATTGTACAATACACGCGAGTTAACTCCATTAAGATACTTGTGTGGTTACACAACTCGGCTATGCACTCGTTATGCAACGTATCTTAATGGTGCTGTTAACTCACTTGTATCGTAAATATCTATTAAATCATTTATTATTTAGAGATTGGATAAAACCAAACCAAACCAAAACGCTATTTTGATAGCTTTTTAAATGACAATCTCTTGCTACTTACTACTAGGTTAAAATGTGACATAATAGTGACATAACAAACTAACATGCCTTTAAGAAGTGTTCTAACAAAAAACTACCACATAATATTGTTACGGATTCCGTGAGTCCTCAATTAAAAAAAAACAGGATAAAACACTTAACGAATTTATTTTCCAACTATAAACCTTTGCCAGATAGTCCACAATTTCAAAACTCTATTCAAAACTGACTGACTGCCGAGCGCGTAAAGCGTTTTAATTACCTCAGCGGATGTTTCTCGTAACTTCCAGAATTATCTGTATTATTTTTTTTTGTTTCTAGTAATTTTTTTAAACATCGGGATTTTCAGATATCATGTAAGATATGGCTATGGACTGTAGAAGTAAGGAGAAATATCTTCATGCATTAAAAAATGGTCATAAAAAAGGGAAGAAGATGGCGCTGCTGTAGCAAAAACCTAAAATTTAAAAATATGCGCCGAAAATTTTTAGAACAGGAAATGATTCAAAAGAGATAAATATTTGACGTGAAGGCGCGGGTTTCAAAAAAATACAAATTTTATTTGTATTTATGTTACATGAAATAAATTATCGATTTTTATTCAGCAGCAATAGACTGGGCCTTTTATATTTATATTAACAATAATTGTTTTATATTCTAAAGAATAAAAAAAAAACTTTTTCTGGGTAATGTTTTGGGTAATGTATTATGTTACTTTTATTCTCTTATCTATGGAAACTTTTAATTTTTTAGATATATGCGCCACTGTGGTCATTTGGTAAACCCTTATTCTTCCCGTTTTTGTGACCAATTTTCAAATAAAGTCCCATAAGAGATATTTCTCCTCATCTCTACACTCCATAGATTTATGCGTCATTAGCGCCACTGTGGTCATTCGGTGAACCATTATTCTTCCCATTTTTGTGACCACTTTTCCAAATAAAGTCCCATCAGAGATATTTCTCCTCATCTCTACACTCCATAGATATGGCGCATCATAAAGTGTACTGTATTACCGATGGAATCTCCATCGGCAATACAGAGAACACGCTCAGCCGTTGTTCGCTCCTCCGAAAGATGTCGCCCTACACCTTTACAATATATTTACTTTACATAAAACTACACACTTTATATACATAAGTGTATATGGATTTGTATATATTTATTGATACTTGTATATTTTATACCAAATTAAATTGTACTAAGATCCATCATATGATCGAAAAGAAAAATCCGCGTCAGAGTTGGCTTTGAAATGAAGATTACTGCCATTTTATATATAAATTTATATGGTGAATGTTTTCGATGAATTTCGATGAATTTGTCATTTTCGAGAATTTTTCATCGTGACGCAATTTTTTTTTTGGTCATACGGTATACTCAAGAGTATAGTTATTTATGCACTTCCACTCAATTTTTCCAATTACTGTAAACCGTGAAAAAAACATTTTTAAAATTTCTCCGCTGAGAGGAAATCTGATTGTGACAGTTGTTGCGTCTCATTTTAATTCGCATATAAATTTAATTTTCTATCATTTACACGATCTCTTTAGTCCAACTCTTCCTTGAGTCAGAGTGGAAAAATAAAACATTCATTTGCCACAATCCAGCAAAACTACTTTACTCCCAACACTGGAAGCGCTTTTTGATAACCATCATCGCATCGGCGGATGATTAAAAATAATTTAGTTCGACCTTTTTATAGTGTTAATCATCTGCTGATGATGCTAACCTGGTTAGCAAAACGCGCGTTCAGTGTTTCAATTTAATATTATATTTTTTTAGGAATAATGGAAATGAATCCGCAGAATCAATTCAACCCTTGTGGCAAGTCTCACCCTCAATGATTACTGCTCTACAAACTGAAGTTTCACCAAGAAGGTATGATCTAAGAAATTTTTTAGAATAAAACTTCCAGTGTTAAAACACTTTACTTTTAACACTGGAAGCACGTTTTTTGTTCACACATTTTACTTATCATCATCGGCAGATGATTAAAACTAATATAGTTTTTTACCATTTTTACCATGTTATAGTATTAATCATCCGCTGATGATGCTAACATTGCTAGGGAAACGCGTATCTAGTCTTAAAAGTAAAGTGTTTTGGTATATTATGATGAATTAGTGTTTTATTTTGTTCCAAACGCAACTGTATTCTTAGAGAGTTTACACATTTTTTTTTGTAAAATGTATTCTCGCTTTTGGTTGACTTGGTTTGTATTTAGTATAATATTATATATTTTTTAGGAATATTGAATATGAATCTGAAGAATTAATACAACCCTTGTGTCGAGTCCCACCCTCGTCAATGGTTACTGCTTCAAAAACGAAAGTCTCAGAAAGAAGGTATGATCTATAAAAAGAACATTTTGGAGTAAAACTGTTTAAATTAATTGTAATTAAAAAAATCTTAAACTTATTTATTCTTTTGAAACGCTATGGTTAGGAACTTTTTAAATGATAATCACTTGCAACTTAGGTTAAAACAATTTTTTGGCATTTATTTCAACCAGTGAGATAACAAACTAACATGCCCTTAAGAAGTGTTCTAATAAAATAACTACCACATAATATTACGGACTCCGTGAGCCCTCAGTTCAAGACACACGACAAAACACTTAACGATTTTATTTGACAACTGCAGCCCCAATACTAATTAAATTTAATACACAAAAACTTTTGCCAAATAATCCACAATTTGCTATATTAGAACTGACTAACAGCTTCACAGTTCACACAGCTTTTTAAGTGTTTTTAATGCCACCTTTTCACAGTTATGCGGTTCACGATCACAGGTTTGCGTAAATAAAATTTGAACTCACAAGATAACAATAATTTCTTTGAAAATGGACGCTTTATACATTTCGGTATTTTTTCAATGAGTGCGGTTTAAATTTTGAAAGATTTTATAATTTCTGATGATTCTGACTTTGACAAGAGAAAATCCTTCCTGTTCTTGTTTGCGGTTGCTCTTCGCAACCGCTATAGCAGCGCCAGGTCCAAAACATTTATACGTTTTGGCGGGAAGCCGAGCATTCCAATTTAAATTTATAGTCTGTCCAACGAGAAGATCCTTGACAGTGATAGATGTGTCTGTTTTTATAATTTCAAAGTAGTTTATTTTATTTTACCAAGAAACAAGTTGGTACAACTAGAACGCATAGCGGGAAATTAATATACCTATTTAAAATTTGACTGACAAGTGATTACTTCAAAATATCGTGAAAAAAAACTGTATAAAACTGAAAAAATGTAATCGAGTTATCTTATTTAATAAAAAACGGTATGTGTTTAATACAAAACAAGCAAGAACAAGACAACACATACCAAAAAATATAAAAAAAACTACTTCTTACTTTCAAGCTCTATGAAATTTCCCGCATTTATGATTATATTTATTAATATAACTTATGTACTTATACTTATGTACTATTTTATTAATAATAACACTTACCAAATTTTATACCTTAAAGGTTGATTAATTAACTTTAATCTTAATTTTTTTAAACCAGTACCTTCTGACATTATTTTTCTGCAGCACTAAAATCCATTATTTACCTATCGTGTGATGTCGATATTTTACAGCTACTCCAGTTTTTAGTATGTCTTTAGTAAGGTTCTTCTACCATATTCGAGATGCACTTATCTACGACGAGATGGTATCCGAACTTTATTGATGGTAACTTTATTGGTGTATAAGACTTTCTGCCTGGGCAGCGAGTATTAACCCTAAACTGTGCTCTGGGTCTACAGTTAATTTTCACTCGATTTTTCCTCCATTTGACTTTGACAAGACACACGTAATAACACGAATCAAAATGCATCATCTTCCAAAACGCAGGGTATGTGACAAAAGTTGACACAAAATTATAACCTATAATTTGGCAAGACTTTGACAAGCGTCAAAAATGTAAAGGCGAGTTCATACGCATCGGCGTCCGTTTGTCGTTCATCGTTCCGTCAAACCAATAAAATTGAAATACGATCTGTCATTTTTAAAATAAACCAATAAAACTGGTTAAAAACAAGAGACGACGCATGACGGATTTATATTTAAACCCATCGATAGTTAACTTAAAAATTATTAGAAACTTTTTTTAGAAAAATAAATAGATTGGTATGGGACGTCATCTGCTTTTCTTCTGTCATCGTCTGTCGAAATCTTAGCTGAGAAAAAAAAACAGAGTATATTTCCTTTATCTATGATGAGAGGATACCTGACCGTGACAGTTATTGTCGTCATTTTAGTTCACAGATAAATTGAAGTTTCTCTCATTTACTCGATATCGTCTCCCAAAATCAGAAATCAGAGTTTATACCTTTTTTTTGTAAAATGATATCTCGCCTTTTGCATACAATATAATTACATACTCAATAAATATATATTTTAGGATTGTTCAGTATGAATCAATACAACCCTTGGGTCGAGCCTCACCTTTGCAAACAATTACTGCTTCAGAAGGCTCAAAACACAGGTAGGTTCTACACAAACATCATTTTTGGAATATGTATTTTTTTAAAAAAATTATAATATTATAATAATTTATTGTAATCTCTAAACATTTTTCGATGCACGTCATCAATCATATCGACATTGACACTAAAGTCTATAAATCTGACTAAATAACATTTTGGAAAAATGTTCAAATTTGTTGTATAATTTAAGATACCGAGCAGCTCTTCATTTTACTTTATAGAGCAAATTATTGTAACAGATATTTTATTTAGATTAAAGCTGCAAAAATTAGTTTAAACCGAATTTTATTATCGCTATGTTGGTTACATTGCGCTGTGTTCAGCAATGTTGTCCTTTATTATTTCACAATTATCCTAGTGTCAGTCATTATTTTGTATAATATCGTGTTGTTGAATCTTTGAATTCTCGTTTTTTTCCCTATTTTTATAGTATTTTTTTTAAATTGCACTTAACATAGCGCAAACAATTCTTTTAAGAACTAAATTTTCGAGTTTTTGTATTGCATTTCTTGAAATTGTGTTGAAACCTATGCCGAAGCATTTAAACAGTCGAAGCAAAGAACTTGTAGTTTCCCTGTTTTTTTTGAAACTATTTTGAACGAGAACGTGAAAGGTCCTTTATTACCCTTGACACACTTAAGCACATTACACCACTTTCAAAGTTAGTTTTTATTAAATTCTGTGATTATTAGTTTGTGCATTAATAGCACCCTCTTACTTGTTATTACCACTTATGGCGTTGTAAGATGTACATCAATAAATAAATAACCCATAATAACGCTTATAATAATCTTCATAATGGATTAGTTTTTGCCAATATGTAATAAGTAAAATAAGCTATAAAACAAATAAATCAATTAATTACTAAAATATCAGTTATTAAATTAAAAATAAAACTTAAAACTCTTTAAAAAATGATATAATAAATATGTTGTTTGTCTATTTTAAATTAAGATTCATCTCATAAATCCATCACAATCTGGCAGCGCTGTCGCCATCGCTTGTCACTCAAAGTTGATTACGTGCATCGGAAATTCTTTTGCGATTACCATAGTTCTACCATGTTATAGTGTTAATCACCTCATATGCTAACCTGGTTAGCGAAACGCGCGTTCAGTATTTCATTTTAATATTATATTTTTAGGAGTATTGAAAAGGAATCTGCAGAATTAATTCAACCCTTCTGGCAAGTCACTACCTCACCCTCGTCAATGACTATTGCTTCAGGACCTGAAGTTTCAAAAAGAAAAGGATATACAAATAGGTATAGGAAACCCTAATATAGTTTGAAAGAGCGTTTAAATCTGCTTCGATTTATTTTAAAAAATTGAGGGTTTTGCATTTGAAATAACGAAGTTTTTATGTAAAATAGATATTTAAAATAAGCCAGCAATTTTTGGTACCCCTGTATACATTTAAGGAAGTAATCATTTTTTTTGTAAAGTTTATTTCTCGGGCTTCAAAGTCAGTACAAGAATTAATTCTGAAAAGTAATGTACAAGATGTTGACAATTTTTTTTTATTATAGCATGCATATTTAAATATCTTTAAATATCTTAAAAACCAAAGCATTTAGACATATTAAACCCTTATAATAAATGCCTTATTTTATGCCCAAGAATCCAAAAATGAAATAAAATACCGGGTGTTCTATAAGAAAAAAAATAACTTTGGTATGCATCTTAGTTCTTACCCTGTTCATTTCAAAATAATTTTAAATTATGCACATTGCCTTCCCACATATACCCATAAAATATATTGTTTCTACATCTTTCCGTTTTCTTATAATCAACCGATATATTAAAAAAAATCAGAACAGTTTCTTAATACATATTATATTGAATGTAATTATTCTTTAGTCTTTGTATAATAAGTTTTATTTGTTGATATATTTCTTAATTGTTATACGAAAAGAAGCATTACTACTTCCAATATATAAGAAAGACAAAAAAACATTCCTGAAGAAGCATTATATTAAAAACGAATCCTAGCCACAACACCCAAGAAACAACAAATTAAACTTATTAATACAGGATGGCGCCTCTCATACGACGCGGAGGCTCTATAGTTCAGTCATTGGGGATTTTTGCTTGGAAAAAAGTCCGGAAGTTTTGCACTTATGCAGGTTTATAGGTTTTGGGGTCCCTAACTAAAATCCATAAAATGCACATTTCCAGACTTGCCGCCGGCGCCGCCATCTTGCCAAGATGGCGCCCAAAATCGGTATTTGGTGAATATCTCGAAAACTGTGCGTTTTTCGCGAAAATTTGAGGAGAGCAAAATTAAAGAGAATGAAATTTCCTATAAAAAAGGTGTTATAAAAATGTTCGCTAAAGTCAATCGTTTAGGCACAAAATCCCTGGAATTTTTACAATTTTGCGTTAAGTATGATATACATAATATAGTCGATTTTCCGAAATCAAATGTCGATTAGTGTTCACTAAAACTAGTTTTAGTTTAGTTTCTTCAATTTTGTCATAAAACAGTGGCGTATCATTAATTCGCTCATTAATTTATGAATAATTAATTTTAATTATTGAAAATGTGTACTTGTTTCCACACCACCCAAGAGGTAAAGTACATGGCGCGTTTATTTTAATGTGGTCTCCCCGGACGCCTACTCCACTAGATAAATTAAAAACTTTAACTTATCTGCACCAGCCCGACGGATCTGGCTCATTGATGTCAAAGTCGATCGTGTCTGCTGTGCTGGGCTCATCAGAGTGGTCTCTCAATACGCACAACTCTTCATCTTCAGCCGCCAGAGGGATATCTACAGGCAAGTCCAACTCCTCTTCATCGGATTCGTCGAGTGACACTTCAGTGACGTCACAGTATGCATAAATCATTGAACATTTTAATCCTGCTTTTCTGCATCCGCAGGCTTTACCATAGTTGTTGGTTTTGCATTTACAGGGTAAAAATGCTAATAGGGATTTTGGAGCTGGATCTTTCAACGTTGTGACTGGAGTAATGCCTGTTATTATTTTCTTCCAACCCCATTCTTCGGCATCTTTGGTACAACCAGACCAATGCTGAAGCTGGTGGTAAGTTCGCAATGAATGCTGTCCAGCACGACAATTAATTATTCATAAATTAATGAGCGAATTAATGATACGCCACTGTTTTATGACAAAATTGAAGAAACTAAACTAAAACTAGTTTTAGTGAACACTAATCGACATTTGATTTCGGAAAATCGACTATATTATGTATATCATACTTAACGCAAAATTGTAAAAATTCCAGGGATTTTGTGCCTAAACGGTTGACTTTAGCGAAAATTTTATAAAACCTTTTTTATAGAAAATTTCATTCTCTTTAATTTTGCTCTCCTTAAATTTTCGCGAAAAACACATAGTTTTCGAGATACTCACAAAATACCGATTTTGGGCGCCATCTTGGCTAGATGGCGGCGCACAGTGGTGTGAGACTGATAATATAACGAAAAAACCCTATATTTCCTAAACCGTCAATCCAATCGCATTGGGACGGATTTTATTCGATTCAGCTTAATAAAATACATCAAATAACATGGTTTAATAAATTTATTTTAAAGTAAACTGAGCACCAATTGAAACGTAAAGTGAAAATTTTTGCATCAAGTTGAACTTCTTGTATTTTCTGAACAATTGAAGGCGTTTTGAATTGCTAGCCAGATTCTGAAACGCATTTTTATCGACTGTCGAACCGTCCTTTGCAGTTTATTTAATTATTGGCTAATACCCATAATACAGGGTAAAACAAAAATGCGTGCATTTTTTACAAAATTTTAAGTGACCTCCATTTTGTGGGGGGATGAGGGATTTCCATTATTTGTGGGTATTTTAAAAGAGCTGTTTTATATCTCGGGACGTTTTTGAGTTTTTTTTGGGGTATCGCTCTCCATTGCGATTTTCTTTTTTTTAAGGTTTTAATTCTAATAAATTTATCTCATTATGAAATTAATATATTGTATTTTTGAGTATTATGCTTATTAACTAATGATTATACTAGAATTTTTAGAATTTAGAATGAGTGTGAGGGGGGTTAATCACTGCGACCTTACAGATCCATTGTGTCCCTCTTTCTTGAGTCATAACTCATCATACAGTCCCAGGGCTTTGACAAAAGCCAGTATCTGGGACGGTTTTATAGAGGGTAGTTCTCCATCTCCAATATCAGTCGTACCAAAATTCATGGCACGAATGGTTGTCGTCTCGGCGCAGTCAGTGATGAGGTGTACTGGTGTTTCGCCATCTTCCCCACAGAATCTGCATTCGCCGTTTCTTCTTAGTTTCAATCTACTGAGGTGTTCATTGAGGAGACAGTGTCCTGTTAAAAACCCCGTGACAATCCGAAGATTGTTCTTACTTAAACCCAGGAAGATCTGTGATTTTTCTTGATCATAAGCCCTCAGAAACTTCTTCGAGTGTCTTAGACCGTTGCAAGATTTTCATTCCAGGTTGCGGATGGAATCTTCTTGGAAAGTTCTTGAGTTTCGCCTTGAGTTGGTTACCATTTGGAAAGCAGAACGGTTTTGGTCCAGTTAGTGGAGTGTTCGCTCCTTTCCTAGCTAGATTATTTGCTTTTTCATTGCCTTCTATCCCTTGGTGAGCAGGCACCCAGAGTAGGAGGACTTTGTTTTCTTTGCCTAATTTATTCAGCTTCTCTATGCATTCTTTGACCAATTTCGAATTGATTGATACTGAGTTGATCGCTTTTAACGCTGCTTGACTATCAGACAAGATGGCTATTTCTTGTTTCCGATAGTTCCTATCTAAGATAAGTTGTACGCATCTCTCGATAGCGTAGATTTCTGCCTGTAGGATACTAGGGTAAGTGCCCATTGGTTTGGAGTATTTAGCTCTCGGCCCAAACACTCCGATCCCTGTTCCCGTATTGGTTTTGGAAGCATCAGTATACCAAGTTATGGTATGGTCTTTTAACTGCTGGGCAAGCGTTTCGTTCTTCCAATCCTTTTTATTGCTCAATACTACATTGAGATGTTTCTCAAAGTTGTACGTTCTTGGCATATCGTCCACTGGGAGTTGCAGGAGTGGTATTTCCTTTATGAGGGTGTTCCAAGCCCCTGATCTGACAATTCTCCCAGTACTAATTCCATTAGTAACCATTCTAATCATTGTCGCATTGGCATATCTGCCAATGACAATGTGCAGTGGTGTTAGATCTAGAATGACCTCCATTGCTGCTGTTGGACAGGTTCTCATGTCTCAATGATTATACTAAGTGATTATACTGTATCGTTAATCAAAAAGTGTTAAATGCTTCTTTTGTTATGCCAAGATACATAATAAAATCTGTTCATATAATTTAAATATACCAGCTGGATAAATTTTTAACGCCCTGTATAACTGTAACACTTTTTAGTTATATCAAATTATTTGTTTGCTTTATTTAATTATACATTAAAATGCATAATGCTTAAAAATACGATATCTTCATTTCACAATGAGATAAAATTATTAGTATTAAAACTCATAAAGGTCCCGAGGTATAAAACACCTCCTTCAAACTACCCACAAAAAATGGATCTCCTCCATCCCTCCACAAAATGGGGCTCACTTAAAATTTTGTCAAAAATGCGCCCATTTTTGTTTTACCCTGTATTATGGGTCCTGACCAATAATTGAAAAAAACTACAAAGAACGGTTCGATAATCCATAAAACAATGTTTTAGAATCTGGCTGGCAAATTCAAAATTCCTTCAGAAGTTTAAAAAATACAAGAAGTTAAACTTAATGCAAAAATTTACACTTTACGCTTCAATTGATGCTCAGTTTAGTTATTGTGGTTCAAATTATTATAATTTAAATAATTTATTAATAACATTTAAATCTTATACAATATAATGATATTTATTTAATTTTAAGTGGCAAAAAAGTAAATTATATTAAATGAATTCGTCGGCATCCACAAAAATGAAGAATGTAGTTTTCATTTTTTCCACACTGTTTATCTTTTATTTTAAATTTTTAACAAACGTGGCCGAATGTGGCGATGAAATTTAAAGAATCACTACTTTAACAGTTGCTTTTTTTAGTCAAATTAATCCGAGACCAAAGCTCCGTAAAGCTTTTTTGTTCTAGTCTGATTAAAGTAAGAAGTAAAGTAATTTTATTAGAAATAGATTCAAACTAAACTGCATCAAAGGCACGGTATATTTTGGCAAAATGATTTTTACTTTTAATACCCATGGATAAACGAAAAAGTTCCTGGATAATACCGATTTTTAGGAATTAAAAGAAGGGCTGTAAAATATTA